ATCTCAAAGTAGAAAATAAAATGTAGACTCATAATGCTTTGTTTCTTGTGTTATTTGTCTGCATGGAGCATCCAAGCTTTTAAATCATTGTTTCAATCAGATTTCATCAAATGTTGCAGTTCTAACTGATACAGCTTTTGGCATAGTTATACTATTACTGGAATATGACAACTTTTTAAGTAAAGAATTACTGAAAAAGGTTTTAAAACTGAGAACTTTCTTGTTTAAGCAGCCTTTCATGGAATAACCTCCAAACACTAACAGTATAACTTTGATCTTCTTAAAGAAAAATCATTTTGTACAAATAAATACAAAACTCCAAGAGGTTGTCAATGATAACATTAACATTTGTATATTTTTAGAAATATAAAATGTATATTATAAAAAACTTGTTGAGTAATTATTGGGGCAGACTTCTACAACTTTGAACTTTGATCTTAGACTCAGACGAAAGTTGCATCGTTAACAGAAAGTCAAGAACCAAACTGTTCACATGCTTCCAGCAGCATCTATGTAGCCTCCCTTCTTAGTTTGCACTCTGGAAAGTTGTGAAATTGTGTTTTTCTGTGTGGTTTTGGACTTAGCAAATTGCCAAGTTCACTGACCTTACAGCAGGAGAGTCAACAAAGCTGCACCAGGGTCTTCCACAAGCATTCAGGCTTCCCAGGAGATGGCTGAGCAAAAAGAACTAAAGCGAGAACAATATGTGACCTCATCTTGTTCACGCCCCACCTCACTCCCTCACGTCCCCCACGTCTTTCATTTGTCAGTTTACTCAACAATGCTGGCTATTTTAGTAGAAGCTCGCCTCTTTGCCGACCAAATCTTCCTGGTAGGGGATTCAGTGAGGAAGGAAACCACAGATGGTTGTATTCATGCACAATGCTGAAGTGTTGGAATCTTGTTACGACAGCTTTCTGGCTTGCTGGGTGGTGTTGATCACTAATCAACATAGTTATCTAACCCCCAAAACACAAAAGAACAAAGCTATAATTTACTGAAATGTAAGCAGAAGGTCTTGTTAAATTCCAATGAGAATCAGAAACCTAACTTCTGCAGGAAAGAAAAATAATAACCAACTTGGCATCCTATTAACTTAGAGCCCACCGAGGGAGTAATTATTTTTTTTCAATATGGTAGTGTTTATTGTCTGGTTGAGGCATTACAACATTTGGCACGACGCTTAAATCTTCATGGGTGTTTGATTTCATGGCTACAGTAATCATATTTCTTGGCAACTTAACATAAAACTTTGTTTCCGAGTGTTTATCTGATCGTCAATAACACGTATTTGCCACATGCCAAGATTTCACTAACAAGCTCCCAAGTTACAGCGAAACCTGGCATAACTGCTAATTACGGATTATTGTGTTTGAGACATGTACACAATCAGGACACGTTGTGGGGGAATTTTACCCACATCTATGAACATCTAAAACAAGTTGTTTTATATATTATTGGTCTTTACATTTATTCCAGTCGTGTGGTATCAATTGATCCTATTGTATAACTTCTGGCCTGGTAATCATCTCCCCAGGCCTTTTGTCACAATATATCGACTCTGAAAGTATCTAAACAACTGAAATATAAAAGGTCAGCAAATAAAGAAAACATTTGGTCTCCAAGGCTAATCCATTAGTTTAACCATGACCAATGGATGTTGGTCTGTGGGGAACATTGGGGGAGGGTGTCCATCAAGAAAGACCTCAGCCTGTTTTATCTCATCCTTGTAGGGTGTGCTCTGAAGGCCATCTGCCATCCATCATCCATCCCCATTGATTTATTTCTGATGTTGAACACAGCCAGAGAGGTAAACTTTCCATCTTCATAGCTGGTCAGCGCTGAGAATTTAAGGGGAACATAGAGGAGAACATAAAACAGAATGAATAATAAATAAACATTAATCTCATAATAACTTTAGATTTTTATTACGAGAGGAGAAAATGTACAGGAAGGGAGAATGTGAAGGTGGCTTTGCAGTGTGTTCCTACACCTGGTTCTCACACACTGCCAGTATTGCAAATGTTTTTCTAAAGGGCTCCAATGGAACAATGCATTTAACAGTGTCTTCATTAATAAGCAGTAAATCTCAATCATGCACGTTGCAGCAACAAATTAAAGTGAATTTTGTTTACTTTTAATGTAGTAATCATATTATGTCAATGTAGAACAATTCACAAACTTTAACTAGGCCATTCTACTAAAACTAATTTCCTGTAAGGTATTGAATAATAGTATCAGTGGTTAAGCTTTATTCTAATATAGATGTTAAAACTTGAATGAAATAGCAAGAGCAAGATTTACAAAACAGGTGAAGAAGTCAACTAATGAATAGGCTCCCTGTATAAACTTTGATCGTTCATAATTAGGATGAATGATTAAGGTTGTAGGCCTTTAAAGAGACCACAGGCATGTCCAGAATCTTTTTCAGACTACTTCAAAAATCTACAGCTGCTCCAGTTGGGAGATGAAATTCACCCAGTTCGTCACACGGTGACCTCTGACCAGCTGACTGTGCAACACAGAATTTAACTCACAGAGGTCATCAGGACATTTTCTATCTGGCACTAAGGATGTTCCAATAACAGATTGATTTCAGTGCAGTGGGGAATCATTTCTGTACTTCTCTTGGGTCTTTTCTTCAGTCTCTAGTTTTGCTTACCCTTTTGATCAGTTGTGAACTGAAGTTTATGCATAGAGTGAGTAAAACCTGAGTTCTTTAGAAAAAGCAAGTTCTTTACCAGAAGAAAGCTTTTGTCTCCAAGATAACGATGAGTAAAAATAATAAAACCAAAAACATCCCGATTGATCATGTCTATTGATTGCTGCCATCGGTAAACTGTGAGGATTGAAGCATCTGACTTTAATTCAACACAATGAAGTTATCAGACACAGACTTGCATTAAAATAGAACAGGAGTTGCACTGCAGAGTGCAATCAGTTAATGACAACTGCAAGTTGTTTTTAGAAATCAGGGATGAGTGAGACTGTAGTAATGATCCACGGATTCTTCATGACGACACCTGTGACCTGAATATTTATGTCCACACTAAAGGTTGTTAGTGAGACTTAAAATCGCCCATGGAGAAAATGTTCATGTAAAATCTAAAGTTTCACATTCAATTATAGTTATGAATATTGAACTGATTTTACCGGCAATTGTCGGTCAGAGATTAGAGCCATGAATTGTATGTTGGTCAGAGATTAATTTAGTTTTTTTTTTTTTTTTTTTTTCTGGTGCTTATTTTTGGGCTCTTTCCCCAAGGTTTGGTTTCTCCGCATCGTCTCCACTATTAACTCTCGTGACAATTGTTGCGCTGGTAAGAGCATTTTCTGTAGTTTCATGGTTCTTAAACAAAACTTTATTCAGTATCATAGTCCTCAAAGGCAGCAGCAACAATAGCATATATTCCAGTACTGGCATCATGGATGCCGGAGTCTGAATTACCACCATTTTCTACATCTCCAGAGTTTCTCTTAATCCTGCACTTTATTATGTTATATCCTCCTAGATCATCTTCAGCAGCCCCATCATCAGCAGAAACACCAACAGCTTTGTTTTCCCCAGAGTCAACAGCAGGAGCAGTGCCATTTTCAGAGTTAGGATTATTATCAGCCTCTAGTTTGCACATTGCTTTGTCAAATCCTGCCGTTGCCAAATGTCTTATAGGTTAGTTCCTTGTTGCATTTCTCCCTCAGTAAATTGAACCCTAAATGTTCCTTCCAATATGAAGTTCCTAGCTTCTTGGTTGTGATTACCTCCAATACAACAGCAAGAAATGACAGAAGGAGCGACAAAAAAATTAACCAACATGAAACTTAAAACGCATGTTAGTTAATGCTTTACTATGTGCCGTTTCAATTTGTATGGCGATGTTTTTATGTTATGTTCAAATTTTAGAGATCAGCTAGGCCTGGTTCCTCTAGCGGTTGGTATCTGTGTGCGTCTGTCAGCAGATGCCCTCTCAGTAATTCAATCAGGGCCCAGAGAATCTAATTTGATGCAGACATGCCACGCCCAGATAGCAGGATAGTGCTGGGTAAGACATTCGGTCACATCCAACTCTCCTTTGCTTTGTCTCATAGAAACCACAGAGCATCACAAATTCTGCTATCCACACCCAGCAGCAGGAAATAGAGTCAGCTGTCCATCAGACAATGGCCAACTTGTCTCTGACTTTTGACTCAGCTGTGTGTGTGTGTGTGTGCGTGTGTGTGTGTGTGTGTTTTGCTATTAGTAGCCTGCTGAGTCACAAGAGTGTTTCTCTAAAACAAGAGTTGAACAACTGTTGGAAAACCACCTGATTACATCAGGATATAAACTGTTTGCACAACATTCTCCATCATGTATGCATGTCATTGTGAAACAACATGACAAACATGTCTTTAATTTAAACAGTTGAATGTGCTCAACTTTTTTCTTTGCTTCCACATCTGAAAGAAAACTTTGACAGCATATTTCATTCCAGCTTATAACACTTTATCATTTAATAGACTACTTGCTATTTTGTCACTATTAAAAGAAGAGTTGTTATGTGACAAATTCAAAGAATCAAATGTCTTAGTCATTTAAGGATTTTTTTCTCCTCTAAATTTAACCCAATCAGACTCGTTTTTAAAAAAGAAATTTTCAAAAAAATTTTTAGCTTGTAGAAAGCAAATAATATAAAAATTGATGTTTCAGAGACAAATTAGCGACCAACTACATTTAACCCAATAAAATCTGCAGGTTTTGTGTATAAGATTGAAAACTTAAGTCACCTTTAAGAAGTCAAAATGTCAGATAAAGTACCAGAACTGACATTTGAAACGTCACCATAACTGTCTTCTGAAACTACATTTAAATGGAAAAACTAACCAAAAACATTTATTTAAAATGATCAATTTGTAAAAGTGTCTGCGGTCACTTTGTGATCACCGACACCAATCACTTTAGTGCCATCTGGTGGTCAAATTGTGGAAATGTCTCCCAACTCTCAAAACAAATGACAAACTCAAACTGTAGGTCAACTTGTCTATTTAATATATAAAATACGGTAAAACATACGCAAAAAGGGGAGGAGGGTAAGCTGGGACCAATGGATACTTTGGTACAATAACAAACACTTTTTTTGTAAAAGCAGTATAGAATTTGTAATAACATATCAGTGCATACTTTATTTATGAAAATATACACAAACTGTATATCATTCTCCAAAAAAACAACAAAAAATATTTTTACAACAAAAAAGCCGACTAGCCAAACACAATATATTAGCTATAATTTACTTAAAACTTTTACTTCAATTTTTTTTTTCTTTTCATAAATGTCATCTTGTGTGAAGTGTGTTTGTGTCAATATTACACTTTGTTTCCTACAACATGATTAACTTTCTCTTGTTTTTAAAATGGCCATGCATTGACATCATCGTGTCTGGTCAGAAATAAATTAGACGTGTCACGCTGCCCCTCCTACAGCCCCCCCACCCCACCACCACCTCTGTGTGGACCGAAAAGTTCGTATTTTGAACTCAAAAGCTGCAGCATAGAAGCGGTTTGTCGCAGTCCACTCGCTTTTGTACTACTAATAATAAAAAAAATAAAATAAATCATCACCACGCTTGTGTTGTGTCAGGTCATAAAAATCGTGCAACATTAGTAACACCCTTTTTAAACAAACAAAATAAAAATAAACCCAAGAGAAAACAGAAATACATATTTATAAGATATTTTCATAGAATAAAATCAAATTTCAAAAATAAAACAAAATGTCTAACCTACACAAAGTAACTCAAGAGCTCCATATCATCATGACATCTACCAGCAGTGAACACTGTGGTAATGATGATAATAGTAATAATAATATCAATCTGTAGAGAACAAGAAAACAGACTGTCACCAGCACAAGTTAACACTGGAAAGTCAGTGAGACTTCTAGACATCATTATACAGAGGCGTGTATCGCTTTGTCAGGGGGAAGGGGAGGGAGAAAGAACCATTTATCAGCACGATTGTCTTTCTACGATAACAGCGACCCCTAGTGTTGGTCTATGGGTGTGTCACAAAGCTGCCTCTTTCTTACCTTTTGGAAAAAACCTGGTACTTTCAGACTTAAATTGCCTTTTTTTTTCTTTTTGTTCGAAGCTCTGGGCACAACAGTCTTAACAGTCAAAGTGTTCACACTCTGGGGATTTACTGCATGTTCACTCTGCCACGCAATCTGACAAGCATTATTGACACCGACACTTGTCAAACAGAGGATCAGCAGCTGCGAGAGAGTGACAGACAGAGATCAGAAAATGAGAACCGACTTCTGAACTGAGCAGAACGTGATGAGTCCGAGCCACTGAGCTGACCCCGAAAATGATTCAACTTCATCCCAGCTCCATGACCCCCTATCTGGATGAAGCAAACTAGAGGATGAGCGTGGGTGTGCAATGGACCATTGATGTATCTGTGTGTGTTTGTGCAATTTTGAGATTAAGCCTCCAGAGAGGACATGAACCCCAATTGGGTGAGTGAGTGACGGGGTGAGAGGGAGGTGACGAGGGCCTCGATGTGGTAAAGCCCAAAGTCGACAAGTCTGCGTAGGATTTGGGAGATAGTCATTAAAAGATCAGGAGCCGTTCTGAAATCTCCGGCTTAAAATCAAATGATACTCAAATTCTGCTCCCAGGGCTTTTCACAAGCAAATGGATGCTTTTTAGGAAAAATAAATATGCAAACTTCCACTTTTGACCATCACGGCTTTAAAAATCTACCCACTAAACCCGGATATCACCATTTGACATTTTTATAGAATACAAAAATGACCTCCTTCACATCCTTTTTACCTTCAAAGTGATATTTAAAAAAAACTCTCCAGAGTATAAAACTACAGCCAACCAGTGACAGGCGAAGGAGTGGTCCTCTAAATGCAGATACATGGCTTTTAGTAAGAGAGAAAGACAAAGCTCAAACTTAAATAAAGATCTAAGGGACTTCCTCAGCACACTTATCTTTTCAATCAGTATGCCTGCGCGCGTGTGTGTGTGTGTGTCTGTGTGTTTCTTGACGGTTGGGCGATAATTGCATAACCAACACAACATAATGACCACTTTTGTTCATAATCAACTGTAAAACATCCCAACTGATACAGAAAAAAACAAAAATGCTGAAATTGCAACTTTGATATGTATTCAGTAAAATTTTCAGTTGAATAAAAAGGATGAAATATTTATTTTAAATGTATACGTTCAGATGGCAATGTGTAGGAATGGGTCAGTTTCCATCGTATGATTTATCGTTGTTTGAAGAGGAGAGGTTTCAAACAACGCTTTCTGCAGCTTGAATTTATAAAGTTGTTGCTGATAGCTGCCAGTCAGCTGTGCACGGTAACTGATTTCACCTGAAATAAGATGAAAAAAAAGATTAAGTCAACTGCAGAGTGCATATTCAGACCTGGATAGGAAAGCAGAAGACTCCCATCGATCAGTCTGTAGAAGGTAGTGAGACTTTAAAGCAAATGTTTCACATATGGGTGGGATTTTGATTTCTAAATAAAATGAATTAAACCACATTTTCATCCATTTCTGTTAGAGAACAGACATTTTTGTCAAGCCACCAGTAAAAAGAGTTGTATCATTTCAGTTTTGCTCTTTTAACACATTTTTAAAGAGAGATGCAACTTTTCCCAGTAATGTTATTTTTTTTAAATTGATGTAATCTCCATTTTCTTAATTAATTGATTTTCAATAGAATACGATCACAAATTGGAAGCAATCTAAAAATCCTAGAAAAATAAACTAAGAACATCATTCAATCAAAATGTTCTAAACTAAAATGTATTATCTATGTCTGATCATACCCATGTATCAGCCTTGTGTGATCAATGTGTGCTCTTAGGTCAGGTGTGTGAAGGAGTCAGAGGTGGGAGTTAATGTAAAGTGCACTCCATCAGCGACAGAGTCCATTGCTCGCTCATAAACAGTCCGGGTCGCCACTGCTTTACTTTCTTCCTCTACAGCGCCCTCTCTCGGCTAAACCACATGTTACACTTTATATACACACATAAATAATTTTTTTAAAAAGACTGACCGATCCACTGAGAATCAACATTTGTATTTTTTTTTCTTTTAAATCTTACGTTAAGGGATATCCTGCCGAATATATAATATTTATATATATAGTTATATATAAATATACACAATCCCTGTCGTTTGCTGTAGTCTATAGCCTCAGATGCAACCGTCTGAAGGTCTTTAAATATATACTTGTAAATGACCTATTTATTTCAACCTTCATAACATCTAATCCCTGCCACACAAAAGCCACAAAGGTTACAGATTGCTTATATACACGATGCCACACATCCCTCCCCGACTTTAAACATCAGCTACCACAAAAATAATTTCAGCTGTGTGCATTGCAGTTGTGTTCAAGGATAAAACTCAGAGTGAACATTTGTCCAAATCACTTCCTAAAAAGAAAGAAACAACAATCAGTTGAGGTAACAAACCTGTATACACAAAATCCCACACACACACACGCACACACCAAACACATGTAACTTTCTCAGCATCTGTAGTCGACACGATGTTTGCCGAACGATGAGACTGTCCCTGAGCTGTTGCAGCTCATCCCTGATTAAAAAAAAGCAGTCTTTTACCTCGGCGACAAATAATGCTCCTCGTTTTATAGCTGGCCTGCATGGTTTTGATTCAGCAAAGCCCTGAAGGTCCACTTTCATGTTCAGGGCCAAGGCGCCAAATTGTTGACGAAGCTGCCAGCGTGGCCGGGGAGAGAAGCAAGTTTTTTTGTTTTTTTTTCTTTTTAGTGTCTTCAAATCCAAAACCGAAATAAATCTAAACTCTGGACAGTCATGCCCAAAGAAACAAGAATCTAAATAGACGGCAATGCAGCTGTGGATGGCCGGATGTGTAGAAAAGACATTTGTGGACGTTTTCAGTGGCACTTTCAGAACACAAATCTCTCATATTTGACCAACATCTGTGGAAAAACAGTGAGGATGCAAGAGTGGGTCCATTAATAAACCGAATGCGGGGCGTTCTGGGAAACCAAGTCCAGTTTGTTTGTCTGGTCTGCCAACAACTGTCAAGTTGTTCAAAAGTCCAATTTTATGCCTGATTGAAAATGTACTTGCTCACTTCTACTAAAAACGCAGCTGGATCAAGTCCAACATGGTAATTTGTTTGATGAGTAATCCCTGGATCGTTGGCTCAACCCAGTGGCGGGTTTTCACGTTTTGAGTTCGTCAAAGTACAAACATGAATGCACATCGCCATACAACTGAGCATCAGTGTTCATATGTGCAACATGGGTGTGTTGGCATGCTTGTGTTGTGCATGAGTGACTTTCCTGCATGAATAGTAAGTTACTGGGTCAATGATGGTTTTATTCTGTGAGGGTTTTCAGAGAGCGAAACTGGGGGGCGTCAAGAGCTGGTGGGGGGCATGTTCACAAGCCACAAGTACACATCTCCTCCTTCCATGTGTCCATCCTTCTGTTCTCCTTTATGTCACCCAGGTATCCAATCTCACTCTTTTGACGTTTGTCCCATCCTGTTCCTGAGGCTCAGCTGACGAGGGCCGCAGCAGGACCATGGTGGACTGCTGTGCTCCGGCTGCCACCTGGTGGTGGAAGTCTTGCCCCCCACCTCGACCCTGGGCACCATCGTCCCTGTCGCTACCCTCATAGGAGGAGCCGTTGCTGCTGAGGCTGTCGACAGGCGAGCGGCCTTGAGTGCCAGGGAAGGCGATGGACACCAGACCTTGTCCCTGGATCTGAGGCCCTGCGCCCACCGCTGGACCGCCGGTGGAACTGGGGGTGCTGCGGTCACGGTTTGGGGAGACGGGTTCTGATTTAATGTTGACATTGGGGTTTGTGTTGACTGTGAGTGCGGTGCTCTGAGGTACGGGGCCAACTGACCTGGAGGGAGAAACAAAAACAAGAGAAAGTGGAGATGCCTCAGTAAGTAACTATTAAGGTCAGGCTTTAAAACTGGAGTATGTACCTTTTATAACCCCCCACAAAAAAAAAAAAAAAAAAAAAAACATTTTTTTTTTTTTTACATACTTGTTAAAATTATTATTTTATGGCAGTATAAAACAGATAATCTGTGGGGAAATAATAATAATAAAAATATCAAAATCCTCTCCTTTCTCCCAGCACTAACTGCTTAATTACGCCAGTCAGTCAGAAACAACCAGTCAGTCAGGAGGAGGGTTTTAGGGCTCTCAGTCACTCTCATGCTCACCATTTTAGTTTTGCTAAGCTAAAGCTGACTCACCACAACATAGCCTACCACTAATGCTAATGCTAGTTAGCATAGCCATAGATGACAGCAAAAGGTTTTCCTGGAAAGGTGAGTTGTTTTCCCTCATTACCACATTGAGTAGTGCACAGGAGGATGACTGACAGCAATACGATTCTCCTCATGGCTCTAACTGGTTGTTTATGACCAGGAGTGGTGCATTTTTTTTCTTTTTTCACAGATTATCTGTAACATACCAAACTGTCACCACTTGGTGACAGTTTTAACAAATATGGAAAAAACATATTTTTGTAAAAGTTACATACTGGAGCTTTAACACTAAACAGAAACACAGAGTCCAGCCAACATCTTTAAAACTCCACAGAGTGAATGAATGGACATCAACGATCAGATAGACATACACCGAAGTGTGCAGCTAGCAAAAGCTGAGCATTTTGTCAAATACGAAACACCCCAGACACCCAAGCAAAGCTGTGAACCTGGCCATCGATACTTGGGCAAATCGCGGCACATGGAGAGACGTACAGGACACAGGAGACCAACATAAAAGCAGAGTCATTACACCATGCAGCATGATCATTCTTGCATATTGGATTTGCTGTCAGGTTCCACAGCTAAAGATGAGCATTGGTGCTGAATGCATTCATATTGTGTTCAATCAGCGCAGCAACAAAAACTGCTGACTATCACATGTTTTCCCCTCATTCCTCTACTTGCTTTACTTGCTGCAAAGTGAACACTTGCATTTTGGGGTTCATCTGTCAAGTTTACTTTCTCCTTTGTGTAAAGGTAGGTAGTAAAACTCTTGAAAGTTTTCACTGCAGTAATAAATAAATTACATACTCTCTAATCTTTACTTATTAATCTGTATACAAGATCGAGTTTCTTCTAGAATACAGTTTGAGCATACAATTTACTTTAGAGTTTAAAGATTTTAGAAGTCGTTATAAAACTTTCTAATTTTTGACTGAACTTCTTTGTCACAGAAGTTTTCATACTGCTTGAACATATTTTACTGCTGCTCTAGAAACACAATCCTTGTTGCATTTTACAAAGATTCGATGTAGAAGACAACACAGAGCATTGCATTACTGTGAATTAATATCAAAAGAATAGATGGTTTTCAAAATGTTGAATACAAGTTACAAAAGTAATACATGCAAATTTATTCACATCTTCTGAACACAACTGCAAGGGAAAAAATGTCTGTACCAGCTTTGAGCATCTAGAGGTAAATGTTTGCCAATTCAATTCAAGCTCAGTCAGATAGGATGAAATTAATCAATTCTGATATCCACTTCACAGATATACAAAGTTTCTTGACGCAAATTCCAACAAACTATATTAAAGTTTGACAAAAATTTAAAAAGTTCAATCTTCCAATTGATGAACTGCTAAACTGAAGACAGAGACTTAAATTAAGGAGCCAAAAAGTTTTCCCAAATGAAACAGCAGTTCTTGTACCCATCAGCAGTGTCAGGCCTTCAGGGTTTCACTTCCATCTCTGACCTTTGGACTTCCTGTAAACTTAAGAAAGTAGCTTTAAATTAACAGAAGCTAAAACCAGCAGCGTCAGTCGCAAGTTAGACTTTTCCCCACCAGTGTTTCCGGACAAAGAAAAGAGTTGCACTAACATCTGACAGCTGTGAACGGTTTGATCGCAGTCTAAAGAGGAACCATTCTGCTTTTGATTAAACTGCTCTAATGATAATTTCAGCGCACGTTTTGCTAAGATGCTCAGGATAAAAACGGTGTGCCAAAAAGCTTTCCAAGGTGTCACCCGCCTCCTGTCTACCTGCCATGGCTCTTTGATCAGCCCCTCCACTCTCACACTCAGCCTTCACCTCCTCCACTGGCTGGAGGCTAAGTCAAAGCTGTCACCGAGTCTGACACCGACTGTTGACGCTGCACTGGGGTTCGCTGCCTTTGACGGTGAAAATAGGATTTTTTATATATTTTTTGGGATTGGGCTCTTTCTATCTCCTCCTTTCCCACAGCATGACACAGTAGATCTCAATTCGAAGCTCCCAATTACCGCATTTCGCCCCTTCGGGTGTGTTCTAATATGTCATATCAGGAGCCATCTGCAGCAATATATCTTGCACAATTACTGGCACACTGAGAGGGGACTTTAAGACAGCACTCCTCCAGGCAATCTGGGTCTGCGCTCACCCTCTTCCTCTAACTGACACACACAGACACACACCCTGAAAGTTGTGCACTCTTGCTGTCCTACATATAAATGCAGCTCCTTTCCTAAGCACACAAACACACACGTACACACAGCTGTGTGGCAGCGAGGCTCACTCTGTCTCTTCCTGTGCGCACTTCATCAACCTGTGCACCGCGGCTCCGGCGTGTGCAGGTAGATAGATGGGGGTGCCACTGGGGTGCCGATGCTGAGGCGAGTGAAAATGGCCGAGTCAGCAGGCCAGTGACAGTGATGAAGGTGAGAGCGGCAGGCCAACCCCCCCTTCCACCCGCCTCCCCACCTCCACGAACATTAACAACACAGTGAGCACAGCCAGAAGCAGACATTTAGTTATAGTGAGGTGTGTTGAGTTGCACTTGCAGCCGTGGTTTCCCAAAATACCGAGGTTTCTTCTTTGCTGAGAAATAAATTTTCTTTTATGAAATTTAGCTATAATCAAATTCTTCTACAGCTATATTCTCGTATAAAATAAATGTGTCTTTTATTGGTGTAACAATAAGAATCTTAATTTGTTCAGTAGGGGAAAAATAGCATTTGAGAAGAATTCATTGATTTTTGCAAAATTAATTAATGGCTTTGTAAATAATTTCATTTTTTATATTTTGAAAGTTGAAGAACTTTAAAAAGAAATTAAAATATTTTTTTAAATAATCAGAACTTTTCCATACCTTTATACAATTAAATAAATCTATTATAAACACATCGACATCACTTTACTAATCATGAGAAGTTCCTCTCATTCTGTTAAAAACAAGCAAATCACTTTCATTTTGGCCTCTGCAGACTAATATAAATTTTGATGCACTTTTCTATTACAGAATCAGAATGTACTTTCTACTGCATGCGACCCATGAAAGATTCAATCTAAAAAGAACATAAGGAATGAAAATAGGCATTTTATTAACAAAAGGAAAAGAAACAACTATTTTTTTTGTAGATTGCATCAAATTGTTATGTGTGCAAGCATTGATCATCGTTTGTATGTTTTCAATGCGTAAGGTCGACTTCATACTTTCACCAACAAAGACTCACTGTGGACTCTTAAGATCTGAAATGCTTACATTTCTGTCGGTGTTGACCATCTAACAAAAACAGTTTCTACCAGAGATGTTGTCCTGAATTCATCTAAACCCTGAACAAACATAATTGTCTTAGTGCAATATCAATATGTGTCTTGAACATAACATCACGGTTGTGTCTATTTGTTTATACTACATTTTTAAATACTTATTTCCTTTTTCTTTGCTCTACCTAAGAGAGTTGCATTTTATTTTCACAAATTGTTATGGTTTCTTGTACAATAACTAATTCTAGAAGACAAAGTACAAAATACTGCCAAATCAATCTTTGCCATATGAACTGAGCTACTAAACTATCAGTTGGATAAACAAAAAGACCATCAGAAGAATGATAGAAATATTTTTTGTTTAGAACTAATCAGATTTGTCCTCATAACCTCCCAAATCATCTAATTTTGAATGCAATTTTACCATTAAATATGTCAAATCTTTAGCAAAGGATTCACCATGCAGCAGATATTTTAGGAAAGAGACATGCTGTAAGCTGTAAGTCTTGAGAGTAGAGAGTACAGTACCAGCAGAGGCCCTCCTCTCTGCCCAAGAGAAAGTTGGACTGAGAAGCCAAGCTGTGGAGGGAGGTGGGAAAAAAAACACAGAAGACAAGCAGTTTTCAGAAAGCTGTAACAGCAGGGAAACAGTGAGACGGATCAGAGGCCGCTCCTGGTCAGTCCTCACACAGAAACTAGACAACAAAAAGACTTAAACAGCTGCTTTAGTCAAGCTGGGATATTAGAGGCAGAGCTGTGTGCAGCAGGAAGTGTGAAAGCTGGATAGTTATTCACATGCAGTGCCTGTTTACTTCCTCTTCCAGTAACAAAACACAGGTGTTTTTTTCTTGAAGTGTGATGAGTCTTAAAGGATCCCTGAATGAAGGCCCTCATTAATTTACAGAAACTTGTTGTTGGTCCTTCTGATGAAATAATTTTATGGTTGAACTTGAACTCTGCTCGATCCTGCAATTTGCTTAGCCTTTAAAAACCTAAATGCTCTATGACAAAAAAAAAATCGTTAATCTCTGGACAAAGACCTTCTCAGCTCTGGCAAGCAGGGGTTTCTCAGAGGCTTGGATAGCCGTCAGCTATTATAACTCTGCAAATGTTCTTCATTTAGGTCACTTAGAAAAGAAACAGGAAGAGAGGAGGAATATAAAGAGAGAAAAAGATGCATAAAGAACACATTTCTTCTTTTAAAGGGAATTGTGAGGTACAAATTAATACACATTTCCTTTCTAGTAAAACATTTTTTTTCCCAAAAAACTACCCTTGCACAAAACACTCATAATACATCCACACATTGCATCACAAAAGTATTCACACCCTTCAAAATTTTCACACCATGTCTACTTTTTGGGGATTTTATGTGATAAAACATACAGAGCAGTTCATAACTGTGAAGTTGAAGAATATAATGATTAATATGTTTTTCTTTTTATTCTGATCAATTCTGGATCAAGAATAAACACAGCCCTTTTATGTGTAAATTAATCTCAGTATAAATGCAGCTGTTCTGTTATTGGCTTCAGAGGTTTGTTAAAAAAAACAGTGAACAAAACCCATCATGAAGAACACAGCAGTTCAGTCAGGGAGGAAGTTTAAAGCAGGATGAGAAAGTTGTATTCGAAGCTTGGAGCTAGAATGAAATGCTTTGGCTTAAAACACATCCAGAGCTGGTAAAGTTCTGACCATTTGGCAAACACAAATGGACAAATAATTCATTATAAAAGACATGTCCAAAAAGATTTACAGCTGTATCTGCAATAAACACAAAAATAATGCTTAATTTTTATGATGCTTCCCAAATATTAACTAATTTGTGTCGGTTCAACACATATAATCCAACTTAAACACATATTTATGATTTTGTATGATAAAATGTAATAAATGTTCTCCAAAAAAATGTCCATAAATGTTTGCCACATGGATGACATTCTTTTGACAAAACATTCTGTCAAAAGAATGTTAATTATTTGGCACAAACTAAATACATCATTTCAGCATTGTGAAGCAAGAGGCTGGAAATGTCATGATTTGTGGAAGATTTAAGTGCAATTAAACAACATGCTTTACAAATCAATATGTCAATATTTCTGATGAAAAGCTGATTATTTAATGGATTGCCTGGTCTTTTTCACATGATGGTGGACTTAATAATATGAAACACACATAAGCTGAGCTGGAAAAACTATTAACCAGCAGGCATTTCTACATAAATGTACAAACTGGCCGTGAATGCTGCTCTGCAGGGCAGCAGTTCATCCATTAACATTTAGATTGAGGAGTCAAGAGGAAGCTGAGAGTCAACAGGTGTACATCGAATTAACTAAGCCTGGATAAAGGGGACGGAAATGAGAGGGGAAAAAACGGAAGTGGTGGATGATTAAAAGGGGGAAGGATGGGAGAAAATAAGATGACAGAAATAATTTCCTTGTGGCGCCTGCAGCGAGGAGAAGTGTAGACGACAGCAAAGGCAAGGAATGGCAGCCAAGCCGTCAATCACCATTTGATAGGGAGGGCTTGTTTGCTCGCTGCGAGGCCACACTGTGAGGAAATCAGAAGCAAAGCAGAAGCAGTATGGGCTGTACTGGTGCCCACGTCTGCCCATGCTGTCCTAGGACAGCACGATTTTCCGCGGTGCTGTGAGAACAGTTTGGTGTGCTGGGAAAGATTCCCACATTTCTGTGGTGCTCCCTTGTTTTCAGTGACAGCAATTCTGTTATCCTGCTCACACACACTCACACACACACATGGTTCAGTGATCCTGCCTGGTGCTGATTCTAGAGTCAAACCTGCAGGAGCTGAAACACTGCCACAATCAGCATCTGGGTTGCATGATCATGGCTAAAATTTAAATCCTGTTTACTCAGTGAAACCGTGGCTGTTTTCAATGCCCCAATGTTTCAGTTAGATTTCCAGAAGAAATCTTATAAAGAAGCGGGACTCCGACATTGTCTTCAATTATAATACGTAAACATTTATTTTTTCTTCATTTGCACAGGAAAGTATGAGTTAATGTGGTAAATATTCCAAAATATAAAGTCAGATGCAAATCATTTGTTGAATTTCAGTGCAATCTGAACTTTGTTGAAGGTTTTCATCTTAACGACTTAAAAAAAATTGTATTTTTGTGAAAATACAATATAAAAGATTAACATTGACACTCTTTTGAAAAGTGACATGCTATAAATGTGCATAACGGTGAGTTGGATTTGATGCGTTAGCGGTCAGACATCATTCACATCTAGAGTGGATGAAAATGAAAAAAGCAAGACGGATTATTGAGGCATTAAATACCATTAGTGATGCAATAAAAATATATTCTGCTACATTTTGTGTTAAAGACAAAAATAACTGGACAAGAAGACTGTAATCTCCTTGCACCAATGGTTTAACGTTTAATGAGAAACAAATGTGTGAGGTGCTTATGAACAGTTTATGTCTGCAATTTTCTGAGTGCTTTTATGTGCAGCAGACATACTGGATGCTGAACTTATTTTTTGCTTCAGGGCAGTCTTATATGTCCAACTAGGAAGGATGATGTCAGACCTCCCTAAAGACTTAAAACAAACAATATCTTTTAGCCAGCAGGGGGCAGCATCACTGCAAACAGGAAACAGTTTGCATTAAAATGCTAAAAAAATTCTCTAAAGTTCTTGAGCTCAGTCAATATTTATTTTTTAGCTCTTAGGCTAAGCTTATTTAATATTTAATGGAGAATGATTTTATGGATTAACTTATAAGAAATACATGTCATTTTAAAACTAGTAATTATTGCCGTGACTGTAGAAGGTTACATGTAACCTTCCCCTGAATTAAAAAAAATGATCCAATTTTTTGTCTTTTTTATTCAATTTTGAAAAGTGGATGAAAAAAATCCCCAAAACATTCCTAGATGATTTAATCAACCTAACAAACAAACAAACATTTAAAAGTGCTCCAGATCAAGCTGCTGTTAGGAACTGTTAAGCGAGTCACGAACTGGAATAATTGACAAACAAAATAGCATTTATTTATGTTAGATGTTTTCCATTATCTCATAAATGTCTGGACATGAAAGATTAGATCTTGAACAATCTCAATGTAATATGTTCCTGCAATAACAGACTTTTCAGAAGTTTATTTATGTAACAGATAATTGTCGAACCATGAAGTGAGGAGGGAATGGTGATGGTTCAAACTGAAATCAAATTTTTTACACTGTTTGCTTTGAGTCTAGCAAATGTTACATGATCAGTTGAGGATGCTAAAATGACTGGGCTGATCTGGTTGCAGAAGGATTTCATTAAGTCTGGATGTCATTTAACATTCACATGCCAATAGGACATGTGAATGAGCTGAGGGAGATTGTTAACTATATAACAATGATTGTTTTATAAGATGAAAATCCCCTGAAGTCACAGCTGTAAACTGTAACAAAAGTAGTCCATATTTTCATGGACTACTTTTGTTCGTAGTCAGACAGAACAATTGATTCATCTTTCAGCTGACAGCCTTGTGTCTTTTTTAAACACAATTTTCTCACTTTTTTTTATCCGTATTGTTGCCTGGATGCTGTCTCTAAAGTGAACAAAAACCTGGAATATCTCTTAAAACGCGCTTAAACCTGTTCACATGAAAGTGTCTTTTTATGCGAACATCAGCGCTGAGACCATCCTGAAATATCAAACATCACATTCTATACAGCAGATCAAATCCTCTTTTTATCTCCTTAACTGACTTTGACAGCTAAGCTACATGTATATCCTTCTTGTAGTTGCGCCACCATAGGAATGTGAGGCCCACATGTATCCCAGCAGTTGGATCTCATGTCTGTCAGCTGAGAGTGACAGCTAAATGGCATGAAAATAAAAAATTGATGCGGTGCTTGTGTCGCTGGTGCACAGCTGCGCCCAGGTTCAGTTTTGAGGACTGAAAGCAGCACAGAGACGCCTTTCATTGAACCGCCGAGCGAGGTGCTGTTTCTGTCATAATGAAGCAGCTCTCTCTTTCTTGGTGACACTTCCAAAGAGCTTCAGATCTTAGCTTTAGGTGGCAGAAAAAGAAGAAAAAAAAACTCTTGGAACAAATCTAATTATCCCATAATCTCTGAGGGGGAAAACGAGTTTTCGCTTTCAACTGAACTGAAAGAGAACGGTGGGGCAACAGGCATTGCATCCAACACACAAATGCAATGCAAGGAAAAGACACTTTGATACTGGGTTTGTGATGCATTTGCATCTGTTTTGGAAATTGTTTAGGTTATTTTCGTCTGTCAGGCTGCTATACACGCCGTGTGTGTGAGGAGTGTATTAACTTGCGAGATAAACAGCAACACTGAGCTGCTTTGCTCTATTTGCTCGTAAGGCATTCACCTGACGTTGGCTGTAAAACTAGAGAAACAGTCAACTGTCACTGTTCCCAAAATAAGGAGGAAGAAATCAAGGGAGGACAAACAGGAAGAAGTAAAATGCAAACCAGTGGCTGCAAGTGATGTTGTGACAGAGCGGACGCTCTACCAACCAACATAATATACTCAAACTAACCTTTAAACCTTTTTTGCTTTTTAGATGAGAAAATAATTTTTATGGTCTAAAACTACAGTTGTCTTTGAGTTTCTTTTACTTTTATAGCGCAATGTTTAAAATGTCAGTAAAAGCTTTGATTACTTTTACTTTTATCTGAAATAACTGCAATGAGTCATCAAATAATTTAATAACATCGCCAGCTGGATGATTATTTGTGTTGCACAATTCTCTCACTTCCACCAATGAGTTGCCTATAAATGCTAAGTGCTATTAGCGGCTATAGAGGAAGACAGTGAAGGAGAGAAAGAAGTGTTGCAAAGAAAGAAGAAGACTAAAAGTATCTCAAGTGTTTAATCACTTTATACTAAACGGAGCTGGAACAGATCAGTGCATCCTCAAATACCTCCACAGGAAATATCCACTACAGGCATCAAACTTTTTTGTTTCTGCAAACGGGTATAATTTTTGTTCACTCTGAAAAATATTAACTTTCAGCTGTGATTGTGAGTATAAAATCTGACATGGGACACATTTTGGCTAACATTGCATTTATTTGCTGATCAAGTAGAGTAATGATGTGCAAAAAAAATATTTTCATACTTCAAACTTAGGACTGAAAGTGATGTGTAATTTAAAAGGCTGTGTTATCCAGTCCCTCAATTTGAGTTTGCTTTCTAAATTTTAAAAGTTAATGTGAACTGTTTGATGCTTCATCTCTCTCTGCATGTGCAAAACTTATTTTATATTTGAAATCTGAGTCTAAAAGTGATTTTTGAACCATATTGTACTTAAAGTAACAAAATGTTTTGTTACAAAAATGAACTAAACTGTTTTAACCAGTATTTTCTCTCATATTTCTTTAGCTGACTGAAGAAGCTCCTACAGAACTGGGGATTTTATTTTTTTATATGTGATTACTTAATTAATCATCAACAATCAATAGTTTACTTGATTACTAAAATAATAGTTTACAACAGTCCAAGTCGATTTGATGATTCATGATCACAAGACTCAGAAGGAGTATGCATGTTTGTAGCAATTTAAAACCAGGTAAATCAAAACTACAGTGAACTGAGGTCATCAGCATATCATCCTTTTCTCCAGGACAAACTTCAATTAAGCTCAACATCAGACTCCCTCAGTTACAACACTCTGCCTAAGCAAGAGTGTGGTCCATTCTTTGGATTGTGAAATCTTGTGCTGGTAGCGCAGCTTGTAGCATCCGTACCAGAAGCTAAATCAGACCGGGACCGCAGAGGGAGACGGCTCATGGAGAAAGGAGGTGGGGTATCTAGGTCACCACAAGATAAATGAACTGCAGCTGGGCTGATGCCACAGCTTTTCTATGTATGGTGTAATTGAGTTGGTTTCCTGAATCAGCTGGAGCGTTTTCTTCAGTAAAAGGTTTGTGGATCAGTTGTTTCAGGGGGGAAAGGTTAATCACCAGGAAATTACCAAATCACTCTAGCAAGTACGTCACAGGTATAAAAACGGGACTTACACCAAGTTATTGAGTGACGCCAGTGTCAGCTGCTGTTGCTGCTGTTGATGCTGTTGTTGTTGCTGGGAGACGACTGGTTGCTGCTGCCAGGCGGCCATGTTGCCAGGCACCAGCCCTGGTGGTGTGAAAGTCTGAAGGGCTGTGAGATCTGCGCTGGTCAGCTGGTACTCTGGGATTAAAGAATGCAAGAAAAGACATTTAGAGAGAAAGAAAGAGAAGAAATGAAGAGGAGGGGGATTGTTTTACATCATACAACTTTCTGCTGCATCAATATTAATCATGGCTAATCCATATTAATGTGAACCTTTGAAGTGGAATCATTCCAGAAGCTCTCACACAATGAACAAAGTGAATATTCATAGTGGTTTATGGCACCACACTGCAAGATTTTCCATCATGGCACTTAATAGGTTTTCATGAAATTGTTTTTTTTTTCTTAAATCTGCATCTTTTCCGTGCCTTTAAATTCAGCCCTGTTGGCAGGAAAGTCTTCCCCGCTCTGATGCAAACTGACAGCTTCAGCCTCGGCTTGCTGTGCGGAGGGGCCGCGCTGCGTTCAGGGACTCACCGGTGTTATAGGCTGTCTGCATGCCGGGGAAGGGAGCAAGGAGACTGGGTGTTGCCACAGAAACCACTGGAGTTGTGAGTGGCTGAGTCACCTGCGAGCTACCTAGCCGCTGAGCATTCTGGGAAAACACAAAAAGTGAACATAAGTTAATGAAGACTGCAGGAAAAATTGACAGCTTTTATAAAGAGCCTCACTGCTCTAACTAGTTTTGATGAGATTTTCTGTGATCTCTATGTGCAGAGCAGCTAATTTATGCTAAATTATTATTTCCTGTGGCAGTTTTGCTCTGATGTAACTTCATCTGAGGCAGAATCCAACACACAGAGAATCTAACCCCCCCAACTGAGATTATCAATGACTTTTTTTCCTGTGGAAAAAATGTCACTTCACTGGGGTCCAGAAGACTCCAGTGAGGAGTTTAAGGAACTGTTTTATCCTTTTATAACCTTTTATTTTATGTGATAAACCAGCAAAAAGTGGTGTAATTGTGATGTGGAACTAAATGAAATATGTTTTGAATATTTTGCTAAAGCAAATGAGTAAAGTCTGGCATACATTTGCAGGTTCCAGTCTTTCGATCACCAGAAACTGACGTTTTTGCACACTGTTGCTTTATAACTCAAACTCAATCAGATTGTGTGAAGTATCAGAAAATATGTTTTCTTTGTAAATCTGGTTGTGTGTTTAGGGGTTTTGCCCTTCTGGAATATGAACTTCTACTTCAGTGTTGATATTTTAACATGCTACTGAGACCTTTTTTTTGCACCACATTTTTAAATCTTTCAGATTTCAAGTTATATCTTCAATTTTATAACTATTCTTTACTTTGTGTTGGTCTATCTCACAAAATGCCAAGGCATGCACTGAAAGTTTGTGAAAAAGTTCTAGCTGTGTGAATGCATTGCGAGGCTCTGTAGGCTGAGAGGTCTGGCTCTGTGTTGTGAGACAATCTGATCTGTTTCCACAAGAAATCAGGCCTTTTGTCCTTATATGGACGGACTGTAGAAGTTCAGAGCACATGACTTCATCCATTTTCGACAACAATAATGGTAATAGTTAACATGTGGCTTCCACTGTGCGGCGCAGGCGATGCAGAAACCTTGCAATGTGACCGAGAACAATTTAGTTACCACTGAAATATTCCACTGTAAACACAGCCTGCTTTACTTTGAGCTGAAATAATGAAGACATTACACACTCTGCTTAGAAAAGCAGAACTCTGTTGTTTTGTACTCACTTTCCTTTACATTTTTCAAAGATTTCCTTAGCAGACTAAGAAAAATCCTGATATCCGAGTTATTCTAATTAACAAATCACTTCATGACTCTGCTGGGCAGATGTGCTCAACATCTCGCCGCATCCTGAGACATTTCGCTCTCTGCAAGAAAATCCTGCCACCTCCCTTCTCCCTGAGGTGCTCAACTTTCCAGCGACAATTTAACATCGTGGTGCGAGATGAGAAAATTCTCGCATCTTGAGGTGGCGTTGGCACGGCAACGCCTGTCGCCAGGACCCGGCGCTCGCATTATGTAGAGCCAGGGTGGAAGGTGTTATGAGAGGTAGGGGCGTGCAGGAGCGTCATGCTGTTAGGAAAGCATGCACTGCCAAGGCTGACGGGAGTAGGACATGAGCGGGAATGAGTGTGTGTGTAGATGTGTGTGAGAGGATGAGAGTTTTCTATAATAAAATGTGAGCAGGCAGGTACGGCAGGAATAAATGCACAATGTGAGGTGAGTTTTTGACCCGAGGTGTGTATATTTATGCAGAAAAACGGCATGCATTTGTGCACGCGTGTGTGCGTAGGACTGAATGGGGTCACATAAACTGAGGCTAACGTGTCCATCTGCGCTCCAGGTTGGAGACTTTGGGAGCTTTCCTCTCTCTGATCCTCAGAGCGGAGACGCTCGGATGAAACCAAACATGCACATGCTGAGCAGCTTTCACACACAGCACAGAGTCAGCTGGTTGCTCCACTTCCCCCAATGTTTCCTCCCGTATAGTCATGCACAAATGTGCCAGGAGCTTTGCCGCAACATAAATATTAATTTGGGATTTCTGATCAAATTTGCTCGAAAATATAAATGAGTTGTTTTCATTTCTAAAACAGAAGAATCAATAAAATGAAGGATTGTTTTCAAATTAAGGATACTGCCTGAAGAGACCATTTGTTCATCCGACAAAAAATATATATATATATTTTCGCAGCAATTGTTTTGAGTCAAAGTTGATATTTAGATTTTGTTTTAGCAGATACTCTTTTCTGTTTTCACATATTTTGGCCCTTGAAACTTTATTAGACTGCATTGGATGTTTATTTTATTTAAATAAACATCAGGTGGTGTGCCAGATAACTGGTCTCTAGACTGCAAAAACACAACTCTTACCAAGTTTTTTTTTCTTCTAGTTTTTAGGAAAAACACCTTAGTGAACTTGAACTAAGAAAAAACTTAATCATTCTTGAATATCCTTTTCACTTCTTGTTTCAAGTGAAAAAAATCTGCCATCAAAACTGATACTTTTTATCAATATTCAGGAATTACTGACTTAAAACAGCCTCCTATATCTTGCTGAAAAGTTACTTTTTGATTTTTTTCAAGTGTACTATGATAGTTACATGAGAAATGACCTACAACGATTTGGAGTTTTTGCAGTGTATTAAATCTTTCAGTAGGAATATTTTCCAAATTACTTGGTCAAATCAACATGGATGCAAAATCCCAGTCACTGGATCCAGTTTCTTGCTTGACTATCAGAGTCCCAAGACCTAATAAAAACTCAGAAAACTTTTAGCATTAGCTAAAAAGAACAAAGGCTATTGAGGGACTCAAAAATATAGAAAATATCTGCAGAAATATTTTTAAGACCTTTTATACATCTTTATCAGAGATGGCAGCACTTTTTTGTCTTGTCCTAGAAACCTGTCCATACATAGATGAAGATAAAATTTTTAAATCAAATCCCGGCAGAACATATTTTAGCATCCTGATTCGTGTCGCTACTGCTACCAGCAGGATGAACCAGCAGAAGCTTTTATCCCCCACAAATTTCAGAAATGAAACAAAGCAACCAGGTGATTGTCTCTGTTGGCGTGTTGCTCTGATGCTCCAGTGCTTTTCCTTCATCGCCTTCGTAGCCTGGCCAGCCCTGAAGGGATGCATCTGCTGACGGTATCAGACTCATGCTCAGTGAGATCACACAGAGTTTGACACCACATCCACGAGGCTGAAACTCTTAAAGTCTATTCACCTCACTCACCAACTCCAGCTCTTCCTCTGTCTGCACGGCCGTTGGAAGACGAGGGGTGGGGAGGAGTAAAAGAAACAGAGGACGTTAAGTTCCTGTGAACTATTTGTGATATAAACAACTCTGTATTAAAAAAAGGGCCTCTGTTTTTCCAAGCTCTGCGGCTCTGCAAAACGATGCTGGAAATCTGAGGAGGAATGATGAGATCCGTATACTGGACTGCAGAAATATTAAATATTTTTAAACATCCTAAGCAATCAGCATATGTTAGTCTGTAAACACTGTGAGTTTCACTTCTCATGCCAGGTTGACTTGTACACTCTGTGCTTCCAGGAATTCCAATAAAAATTAATTTTGTGTTCAGAATAGTCTGTGTGAAGAAATCTCGAACGTACAACATCCTGTAATCTAAAAGACATCTACAGAAACTGATAAGAAGCTTTGGTTCTTGAAACACAGGCCGATCATAAAAACTTTATTTCGCTTTAATGTATTAAAAATTATTTTCACAGCATGAAATAATTTCTATAATCAGGAAAAATTGAAAAATAAAATTCAATTCCTCCCTGTTTTTAAATGCAAGTTCTAAAATCTGCTCAACCTGTTTTAAGCCATATGAATGTAAACTGACTGAAGGTAGGTGTGCATGCTATCTGCTCAAAAATGCTCAATCACTGCCACAAAAACATATGTGTAACTTATTAAATTGGAATAGCAGCAAAACCTATCCTAGCTGCATAAAAAGAAGAGCAGTAAGATGGTTTTTCCTGCAACAAGTTGGTAAAAAATTATTGTTAACCTGTGGAACTTTTGTTTTTTTGCTCTTTATGCTGAAAATGTCACCTAGACATTCACAGGAAGCATTAGAGACAGAGTGCTGAGGGTTCCTATCTTTCTGTATCAGGTGAGCTTCTCGGCCTTCTGCACATAAAAAAATACAACAGCTGCTCATACTAATCATTAAGTAGAGATGTTACAAGGTCTGATTCAAATATCTGAATTAAAACAGCTCCAGTTCCTCCAGATCCATAAAACTTTTCAATAACCAATATTTGGTTTTGGTCCAGGAGTTGTATAAATTAATTGTTTCCATTTTAAACCCCATTTTCCCGAGTTTTTTCTTTCGCTACCATGACACACTAAAGTGTGTCATGGTAGCATCATGTGTATCCTAAAGGAATGCTATGTTACTGAATTGTAATAGACTAAATAAAAAATCTGCAGAATTTGCACTTTTAAAAAAAAATCAGATTTATTAATTAATCATCTGAAAAATTGAAAGTATAGTAGGTTAATAAACAATTATTAGCTGAGACCCTAATATATTTTCCTAAACAAACACGCTGTCCCAATGTTTACATGTTGTCAACCCTGAGCTAAAGAGGCTGAGGGTTCAGTATGTACATCAGAAGGTAAAGATAATTGAAAATAAGCATTCTGCTGCTAGGGATGTAAAACATTTGCAAAGTGTTTTAAAAAGCCACAACATTATGCAGCTAGGTCATAAACACTGTAAATGAACAAGCATTTCAACAGTGAATGCTCATTAATTATTCATGAGCAAAGACGGCCTGACTACTTAAAAAAAAAAAACTAAAGACACAGAGATATGACATTAGTGTCGTCTAAAACGGTTTTTAGCATTACCAGTTCCACACTTAGCATCAATCTTTATTTTCTACTGACAGATTTCCAACAATTCCAAATATAAAATGATGGATGGCAAAGAAGATGTTGAAAGCTTAAAAGGATAAAAATAAAAAAATAAATCAAAAAGAAATGTTCTGTAATCCAGGTAGCCTTCCTGTTCCTGCTGACCTCCTGTAAAGCACAGACTGTTACAGCACAGAGTCTTCTCCCGGGTTATTGTAACTGGATCAGTCCAATATGACTTTTTAGCTCTTCTCCAGATGTTTTCAGAAAGGACATAAATAGATACCTTTTATTTTCTCTCTGTTTTGGGCAGCAGAGTGGTTCCTCTTCAACAGCCATTGTCTGTGAAACATTTACTTCCACAGAATCATAAGATTGCTGTGCATCTTGCATGACTATGAATGCACCTGCTTTTTGGCTCTAATCCTCAAAACTGCAAGAACACAGCTTGAGCAATGTATGACTTTATTGAACAGCATAGCTGTACGAGTCAAATCAGATGCATTTTTAGAAGTAAATAAGGATAACAGCTTTCTTAGCAGTAAAACACACTTTGAAAAATAGGAAGGACTGCATCGCACAGAACGTCACTGGTGAGTTTGTTAAGAGTGGGGCTGAAACAAATAATTGGATTACTCATGAAGAGTTGAGCAATCTAATAATAGTTGACTGGAATATGCTGTTCTTTAATAAAGTCATTTGTATCAGGATGAAGAATCCCAATCTCGACATCTGGTCAACCTCCATATAAAATGATTAAAACCAGTAGTTTAGATTTAAATGGTCAGTCTGAGTCTTTTTCTCCTCACCAGCTGCAGCAGGCTCTTTCCACTCTGTGAAGTGATGACCCTCAGGTCCGGCTTCCGGCTGTTGACCAACTGAGGGCTGGGTGGAGGTGGTGACTTTGCCGGCACTACTTTTCCCAGGCTGTTGCCATTGGATACGGACAGGAGGCCCGGGGAGGCCCTGGCGCTGATGTAGCCATTAGCTGCAGAGACACAGACACAGAAAATAAGAGCGAGGTTTAGTGAAGAAAAAGGGTGGGAGGAAGTTTTGTTTTGGTCTGCTCTGATGTTTTCAGTGTCTGTCTCTACCTGTGAAGTGTGTCTTGTCTGCCGTTGTTGGTGTGTTTGCCTGTCTCATTAACACGTTGGAACTTTTTGTCACACCACATGCTTCTCATCATTTCTGCAGCTCAAACATTGTTTTTTTTCTGGTGGCTCTCTGATTTTCTACAGCTCCTTCACATCAAAATCATGCCATGCTCTCTCCAGAACTATTTTATTTCTGCTCTCAGTATTTGTCTCTGTCTCTCTCTCCTGTCTTGTTCCACTCATCTCAGCTTGGTGTAAACAAAAACACATAATTGTCTCTGGGCTCTTTCCATCTTGCATGGTAAGAAAATATATTTTCTAACAAGTCAGTTTCATGGTCATTAAACCCTGGAAGAAATAGTCTCTAAAAAAGCAAAACACAATCATTTATGAAAGTTTATTGTTTATCTGCATATTTACGAAATAGAATTGCAAAGTGTGTAAATTGAAATCAGTGATTTGAAATGTAAAAATCCTTTACAATTCAGCAAATGACTGAATAATCCAGAGCATTTTATGCTTAAATTTCATGGTTTTGGTGACATAACACAGTTTTAAACAAACAGTTTTTAATAAAAGCCACATTTTATGTAACGACTTTTAGCTATGCATAACCCTGAAAAGAACAGACTATGTCATAGTACTTGGATAACAATTTACAAACAAATTTACAACATAAGTAGATATATAACATACAATTACTTGTAAGGGAAGATGTATCTGCAGCTGACAATAACCTACTAATCAGCAGAAGTCCACTAGATACAAAAAGTTAGTTATTTATTCAGCTAAGAGCCACAACATTCCCTCTCCACAGAGAAAGCTTGGCACCTGCACACAAGGACAGCCTTGAGGTGATCAGTTATTGGTAACGTTTTCCTCTCTGGTTGAATGAATTTGACTATAAGGATCTTTTCTTTGTTTTAATCTGAATAAGACCCTTAAAAATAATAGATGAAATTGATAGTTTATGTGTTTTGCAAACCAGCTGTTTTATTTTGTAAATGTATTTGAAGTTTGGGTGCAGAAACTTACATAATTATGATATGTAACATCAAAACAAAATATAGAATGATGTTGTATAACTTTTCTTAAAATGCCGAAATGCTGAGGATTTAATAGTACCCCAACAATAACAATTGCAAGAACACTGATTTTGGTTGTAGCCAGTAGCAGACTACTTTCTAGAAATATAGTTTATATATTGACAAATGGTTTGTTATTATTAAAACATCGTTAACTTCTGAATATTGATAGCTGGAACTCCTTAAATTTGTTACAATGGCTGCACTACAGTAGGAAGAAAAGCAGGCAGATTGGCAGTGCACAGCAACAAGTGGGGGGCAGGCATCACAGTGTTACTTTATGTTCCAGAAAAAACTGTCTTTGATAAACTAAAGCTTTGAAACTGAAACTTTTAAAATCCTGAAATATCTAGATCCAGAAAACCAGCACAAGTTTCCAAACTAAAATTTTCTGTAAAATTAAACATTTTCCACATTACCAGGTTAGGACACTTTCATTTGTATGGCCTTTCCTTAGTTTTGAAGTTATGATTTTCCAGTAGATGATGTATCCAGAATCTGAACCAGGGAAAGATCAGCCTCTGACTTTTGCCATTTGGTCAGACATATATAAAAACCTTATTAAAGTATCAGATTAACGCAATTTTGGCATTCATAGCAGAGCACAATGTGCAGCTGAGATAATTTGCCTCCCTGTTGTTGAAGAAATATCTAATTAGTTATAGTATGTGTCTGCATTGGCTCTGGTCACAAAAAAAAGCATAAGACCTGACTTGAAATATTAATATAAATCAGCTTACATTTCTGTAAGCACAGCATCTCATTGCTTTCTTTTTAAAAGGGAGATCCCAGCAATATGACAGGCCAAACTGCAGATTATACCAGTGAACACACCTGCCTTTGAAATGGCACAACTGTCACATTCCTCTCCCTTTCACAGCAACACAACCATTGCTCTTAGGATGAATAATACCCGACAGCAAAACTACTCTGTACGCTTTTTCTATTTACTTTGTTTTGACTCTGTTTCTATTCTCCACCAAACACACATTTTTATTACGGTACATGCCATTATGTGCTGGTTTAGAATGCTACTACAAGGAACTTGTTAAATGTAAAACGAGATGTTGGGAAGTGAAGGGTGAAGGAAGAGAGATTAGCTGAGCATCATGACAACAAGCCTCTAGCAGTCTCCAGCCTGTCTTTGGTGCTGAGGTTAAAAGACAAGTCTATTGAAATGAAGACTGAATCACAGTGTATAAGAGGGACAGCAGGGACTTCCCCAGGGACACACACACACACACACACAAACAGATCCAGTACTCCTGTCTGATGGGTGGAGAGAGGGTGTGTGTGTGATAGCAGACTCCTCCATGACGCTGGCTCCAGACGACAGTGGCATGTGACTCTGCTTCATCTCACTTACACAAACAGAGCCCATAAACACAACCTGACAACAACAACAAGTCGATGCTATCTCTGATATCAGCTTAGAGAGAGGGAAGCATGGCAGAAGAGGAGGGGAAGCGAGTAAGGGAGGAAAGACACAAAAGAAGAATGAAGAAAAGAAGAAGTCAAAGTAGGAAGAAGCTTAAACATGTGGTGATATGAACCAAGAAGGTTTTAGTGGTTACACACTTACAGAGATGGGGTTAAACAAAAAGTAAAAGAACAACTACTTAACAGAGAAATTAACTATACCACACAACAAACAAAAAGTAGATGGTAGAGAAAATGAGCAGATTGGACTGGAAGACATTATGGAGGAAAAGAAAGAAACTGAGGGAGTAAGTGAAACAGGATATGACCGAGCAGGAGTTAAATGATAGGCAAACAGATAGTAAGATAAGCACAAAGAAAGACTGGGAAAAAGAATAAGTCTACACATTTGAGGGAGGAGGAAGGAAAAAAATGGCCTATGAATGGAAAACATGCACAGAATGTGGATGATTAAAGTATGAGAACGCAGAAAAATCAGATCAGGGGATTTCAATTATGAGAAAGTGGAGGAAAAAAAAGAAAAGGAAAAGGAATGAAAGAGGAGTGTGGGAAACTGGAGCAGACATGATGCACTAAACAAAGAAATGCAGGGAATCAAAGAAGAAAGCAACCAGAAGAAATAAGCTGCAAATGTATGGAGTCACTGAATGTGGTAAGATGAGGACTGCAAATCCCAGCAGCCACCTGGACAAATTATTCACCTGTGTCCCGTTAGTGCACGGTTCCCCCCATATGCATGCATGTTGACATCAATAACTGATGGACATCTGCAGTCAGCTTATGTTCATGTCTGTGGGAGAAGCAGTGGCTTGGTGGTCACCCAAGGGTTATGAGTTCAATTAACATGTGAGTTTTCCTCTGTGAATGTGAAGTTAACATATGTTTTACAGCTGAACCCAGGCGCAAACACAGTTCCCTTTCAGAAAACAGCCTGTAGAACTGGTATCCTTTGTGTGTTTATACTGTATTACTATGTACAGCTGGAGTTCAGTTCTAAAGAGTTTTGGTGTGCTTTACTTTAACCACAAAGCCTAAAAACTTAGCTGACCGAAAGACAACATTGACGATTCGTTGGGGTTTGGAGACACTTGTTTCTGAATCACACAATTTAAGTCAGGTCTGAATTTTGATATCCAATTTCTTTTTCCCTTTTGAGTAATGGGACTTAAATAATTTGAAAAAGACTTCAAGTTCTTGCAGATTGATGGCTTTCTACAGTCTTTTTTAAGGTCATTTGCAAATTTCTTCTTTTCATTAACCTTTTTTTATCATATCAGACAAAATTACAAAGTTCCATAGTTGCTGCTCATAAACAGCTATGGATTCTAAGAAAATGCTATACTTCTAATATTTACAGGTTTTAACAACAAAATAAAACAAAAATCAGAGACAAGTAAAGAAAATGTCCACCTTTACCTTAATTAAGGGTGTACTGACTAACAGAAGCTGTGTAAATGAAGATGGCACCCAGCTTTTAATGTGCTCATTTGAATTCTGCACCCTTCCACAATAAGCTGAACACAACCGCAAAGAGAAAACAACTGAGATTCAGCCTTGCATGTTTTTAAAATGTGTCAGACTTTTATGAAAAATTGGTTGTACAACAAACTGTACCAAACCAGTTATTTTCAAAGACTAGGTTTGCAGGTTTTATATAAAGAACTGTTACCTTGCAACATAAATGTCCTCCATTTTTTCTCTTTTGTGGTTCAAATCCCTTGCTAGAGTCTATCTGCATAGAGTTTGCATGACCTCCCTGCACATGTGTGGTTTTCTGAGTACTCTTGCCAATCCAGACAATTAGGTTGACTGGCCTCTAAACTGTGTGTAAGCATGGTTTTTTGTCCTGTGTGTCTCTGTGTTGCCTTGTGATGCACTCGCCTCTCACCCTAAGCGGGTACAAACAATGGATGGATGGAAAGGGAAATGTACTGGAAAAATATGTGTAAATATATGGTTATTTTCTGTACAGAAAAGTTCACCGCAAATATAAAGTCATTTCGTAGCAAAAGTTGACTGTTTGGTTTTGCTTCCAGATCCCATAACAGTAAATGTGGATGAGTTGTAGATGTGGCCAAAGCCTGATTTTAATCAATCTGTTAGCAGTTTGCATAGTGTACATGTTGAGTTTCATTTATTAGTTTTAAGAACCTTGTTGCTGCAATTTAATTGACTTTATTTCAATGCTGACAATTAAAGCAGAACTCTGAGAACCAGTGGAACAATATAGACGAGCATCTGCACTAACAGATGGCACTAGAGGAGCCTGTGGTACCCAATGGTTCCAGCACATGCCACATTACTGCAATACTCCTGATTTAAACTGAACTAATGACCCTTGTTGTATGTCTCCTCCTTTTTTAATTTTCCTGCAGAAAACCAAAATCATCCAACTTTAAATCTTTTATGTAAAATGAGAGCAGACTCTGTCGAAAAAAAAAAGAAGATAATTGCAGTTCCTTGCTTGATTATACATGGAGGTCCATGCTGCATTATGAGCTGATTTATGCTGTGTGTGTCTTTATGCGTGCAGCTGCGTCCTGCTGAGTGAGTCCCTGAAACACTTTAAATGTTTGTGGCTTTTATTCATCTAAATTGCTCGTGTTGATGCATTTCCTTGTAGCCCTAACATGTGTTCTTAGACTATGAATGTACATGTGTTGGTACCCTCTGCGTATGCGAGTATGTGTGTCATGTCTCCTATTACACGAGGCCGGGTGTGGGAATGTGTGGAATGCTTCATGACGTCAATGGTGACATTCCCTGAGCTCTTACTCCCCGGACAACAGCTGAGACCGGCACATCCAAGAGAACAGGAGAAACAGGAGGTAAGAAGGGATGACAGAAGGAAGGTGAGGACGGGATTAGGGAAGAATAGTAAAAAAGTCCAAAGTAAGGCTAAAAGGGGTGAGAATAAGACATAGGGAATTGAGGCATAAATAATGAAGGAAAAAGCATCAGAGAGGGCAAAAATACATTGTGCAAAAAGGCTAAAAAGAAGGAATCAAAAAGAGGAGGATGAAAGTTAAGATGCAAGAAGAGGTTGATGAACACTGCGATAAAAATGGAGAGTGGATGAGTGCAAAAGGAGAGTGGCCGGCCATCTGGGAGGATCGGGTTACCTCAGATAACTTCTGAGATTTTGATACACAACAATGTTGTGACATAATTACTGCAACCTGGAGAAATTACAGGGGAGAACATTTAGATTAAAACACAGCCATCAGCAGCAGAAGCAGATTGTTAAATCTACCCCAAATATCAAATAAACTATGAAATTCTTGAGTCTATTTTTAGGACTTGGTTCAAGATAGGCTGGAACAGTCTGCAGTGATGATTTGCAATAACAAGGTCCCGGGTTCAAATCCAGAGTCTTTCAGTGTGGAGTTTGAATCTTCTCCCTTTGCATGCAAGATTCTTTCTGGGTACTCCGGGTTTCTCCAACAGTCTGAAAACATCACTTTTTGATTAATTGGTCTAAATTTTCCTTGAGTGTACGTGTGTGTTGCTGGTTGTGTGTCTCTGATGGACTGGTGGCTTCCACTGGGGGGCACCCCGACTCTGACCCAATTCAATAGCTCTCTGCACCCCTGCAAGGGCAAGCAGGAATTGATGAACATTCATCTATCCAACAGGCAGCAATAAAAACTGATAGCTGTTAGCTGCTACCATATCAAAGTTTCCTTCTGCATCCTAATGTCACCAAATTATGGTCTATTTCACAAATTTCAATTTGATTTTCAAAATCCAAAATAGTTCAAGAGCAAAACCTGAAATGGATCACTTTACACAAAAAAGATTCTTCAAAACACTTTGAAATTTAAAACACTTTTAACTCAAATATGACACCAAAAAGTGTTTTGAAGACTTCTTTTGACAACCATAGAAAATATAGTATATGGCTGGACCATCTTATACAGATTACAGGTTCTTAAATCTATCCACAAAAAAGATGGATATTAGGCAAAATATAGTCTCCCTGTTCCATTTGCACTTCCTGAATATTTGCCAAGTCTGTCTTCGTTGTGGAAAAAACAATAGATTTAAAAATAAAAATAAACTTTCTCATTTTGCACACATCCAAGCTGGATAACCAAATATTTGAAAAAACAATGAGACCCACTTCATGTCAAGTCTTTTTTGTTCCAGAAAAAAACACCAGAGTAGTTTTTCTATTAGATTTTTCAAACCCACCTGTCTTCTTCCTGCCTCCATTTACAATAAATGCTGAAAATGTTCATTAATTTTCTTTTGGCAGAATTGCTAAAAGAAAAAGCTATAGCTTGAGTCACGATTAGCATATTCTATCATTGAATTCTAATTCTGATTTTCACCATTTACTGGTATAACAGAAGTATTTCTGCTTTTGGATTGGAAACTTTTTCCAAAAATAAACATAGAAAAAGTAGATCTGTTTAAAAAAAGATCAGATCAGCGTACTAAAACTGGAGCTTCATTGTAATTTTGTAATCTTTACTCTGTTTGTGCAAAGAAAATTAGTTTATCTGAAAATGTTTGATAAAACCATGTTTCACCTCATCCTTGTGAACCCGCCCTCATGAATCATCTCATCCTGATGAAGCATTGTTACCCCAAAGGAAAGATAAGTGACGTTAATTTGAATGTATTGATTTATTTTTGGCTCACTGTAACATGAGAGAAATAATGCTGTCAAGTGAATCCAGAAAAAAAGAGCCCCCTCACCCCCTATCCATTACTGTGGGATGTAGCTGGCAGTATCTGTCCAAACTAATGGGATTTAAGGGGAGAGCTCTGGCCAGTGTCAAAGTCACCTCTGAGGAGCGTCCTGTGCCAAGACAAGGGACTGCGAGATGGTGGGGGGCGGGGAGTGGGGCGGGGACGGGTGGGAGATTATTCCAGAGTGAAGACGAGGGGGAACAGCTGAGAGAGACAGGATGAAAGGGGGAGGTGTAGTGAGAGGGAGGAGAAGAGCAGATAAATCAAGAGGGAAAGCAGCGGACGTGTAAATGGTTATGCAGATTGTTAACTCTGAGTGTCAAAAAAGTAAACATTAGAAAATGTATTCATCAGTTTTAGGAAACTTTGAGCTAGTAGTTTATGAATTTGGCAGCATTCTCATTTAAAACTGCTTCTTTTTTCCAAGTTGATTTATTGGACCAGTTTATTCTGACCAACTCTTTTCACCGGTCTGTTTTAATTCCACCAAACTGCTGTTTATACGAGCATGACAGGACTTTCAGACTTTAAGTAGGCCACTTTTTTCAGTCATTCAGTTGTGTGCAATGTTTTGAGATCTTGTTGAGTCATCAATATTTACCTGGAACTATTTTGAAAGTCTGTCCACTTGAAGTGGCTTCATGCATTTACTTCAGGGCTGATGTATGTTTATTGACTTTCTTTTTCATCTGGTTTTGAATTTCTCTTTGTCAAACTATGTTGTGTTACTTTTTGAGATCCTTCTTCATCTTGTCAGACATGCTCTATTAAAGTGATATCCTGCAGGTTTGTTATGTTGAGAGAAATTAAAGTCAGATTTCCAAAATAAATATGGTTAGCCACATTGATAAACCATATAGATTGTTTGGTTTTTCAATGAATATTTTTGTTTTACAATAAAAAGAAGAAAACTGAACAAAATATTTGTGGAGTGAATATTTTTTACAACTCTGTTGGTGAATATTTTGGATACTTTCATTCCCTTAAAAAATTTTACTTTGTCTTTTCTCAAGTGTATTCCCCTAATGGGTGGAAAATTCAAATGATATCTGAAGAACTATTTCACTTCAGCATTTCCATTTATTTTCTAATGGTCAGTTTCACTAACTTTACATACAGGGAAAAACCCAAACTCACTGCTCAGTGTTCAAGGTTACTCTAAAAGGAACTAAAAGTAGGAAAAAATATGAAAAAAGCTAATATCAAAGTCACATATCAAATTAACAAATAATGTGAATGGAACCAGTTTACGTTGATGTTCAGCTGACAGATCTATTTTACTCTCTAAAACCCTGAAATCAAAATTCAAATGCATTTTTAGCTCTCATAAAAAAGTCTAAATTGCAGAAATATTTTCACTATCTAGCAATACTTGATTTATCTGGGTGGAGTTGTGGACCTAAAGAGGCTGAGATGTTTGACAGGAAACGATTGCCCAGAATGAAATGTTGATCTCACATTCATGGTGGATTTGATCTGGAGCAGGTGTCCGCCTCCTGACTGCTTTAGTGATTTAAACACTTTCAAAATATACTCAAAAATGTTGAGGTTTCCAACTGTGAATAGAGGAACAACTGAAGGCCAGTTGAGGAAACCTACACAAGCTTCGCTGGAATTTTATTGGTTTCTTTTCCTCTTTTTTCTCTTAGTCATGGACTGTCTTATAACTTGAAACCCTCGCTGTTCTTTGGACTGTTTACAAGCAGCTTGTGCTGTGAACCCCAGCTGTCGCCAGTCAACAGGTGCTTACGTGCCTGTGCATAAGCTTGTGAAAGCGACTGTGAGGCTGCTGCCACACAGAAACGATCTGCACTGTTCTCTTCACAAACCCAACTAAAAAATATATATGTTAAAAGTTCAAAAGATAAAAATTAACAATACTGTGAGGTGTTCAGCTGTGTGTTTGTTGCAGTGTGAAATTGTCATTTGTGTATTTGAGAAAGGAATAGATTTACTTACGAATTGGACTCGGGCACGCTCCATTTGAGTTCCCCAAATCTCCTCCTAACATCGCACCTAGAACAGAAAAAAAAAAAAAAAAAAAAAAAAAAACATAAAAACCATGAAAATTACTTGACATGAAGCAGCATATCTGAACAGCACTAATCTAAAAACTGATGAATATCCACTTTAAAAAAATATTAAATCAAGTATGTCATTAAAAAAGTGCTTCTGCTGGCGACAACCGTTTCCTCTCTAAAGCCCCTTAATTGGCCTCAATGCTGCATTCCTAGTTAAAGTGCTGGTTTCATCAGTTCTCAATGATACTTATGTTACACTTTCAGTGACAAAACTGTCATTGGTTTATACAATAAAAGAACTTCAAAAGACCCTTTTCATTACTGCAATCAATTAATGTGAAATGTAACTGCATGACATATTTGACATTTTTATAATACAACAAACATCAACAAAAAACATTACTGTGACATAGATTCATTAAGACGTATTTTTGTTTACTATTACATTGTTTTTACTATTATTCAGATAATCTGATCATTTTGAACAGCTCTTCATTCCCAGAGAATTTTAAATTTTAGACTAAAATTACTTTTATCATGATAGAAAATGCCAGTCTGCAGATTATTTTGAGCCGCATGATATGTATTAAATTTTATTTGATATTGTAATATAGATATGTGTAAAACTGTAGTCCAAAAGAATAGTTTGGATGCAGAAATTACCTACCAAAATTATCTGGTAGATAATTTCTGCTCTCTATATCAGAAATACATTAGGTCGTTCATTGATCCAGGAGTATTACATGAAACTCACTTTCTTCACGGAATGCCATGTTATGAAAGATGCTGTAATGCATTTGTTGCACGTTACATCACCTAATTCTGATTTACAATGAGATTACCCCGGTCGGGACAAAGCTTGGTAGGTAACCCTGTCTGAGACACAAAAATGGGACACAAATCCTTTTAGTCAGAGGGGTTGAAGGATTGGTTCCCTCCACAGAAGAGGTGCGTGCGGACAGTGGTGCGCCAACGTCAGTCAAAGAAACTCTGGATTTATGCTGTTATGAGAAGCGTGTTCTTGTTTGAGAGAAAAATACACAGAAAGCTGAAAGCAACATCTGCACGCAGACATAGTTCCTGTCTACTCTGAAAATTCACCGGCTGCTGCATAAACTGTGGCTCCACAGAAAGTCTGCTAAATGAAAAAGACTATAAGTCACAAAATCACCATGACAACTGTGTCTGGTTGACATGGATCAAATCACTTCAATTAACAGTCATTAAGGAATCAGGACTTTGACATGTGGAAGAACGATCTGCAAACTGACTGCTTTGGACAAAATAGAAATCATGACAACCAACAGAGAGAAAGTGTAGCTTGAACATAAAAATATGCATCCATATGAATTAGGGAATCAGAAAAAGTTTAATTATTTCATGAAAAAGACTCTTATATGATAGAAATTCATGACATACAAAGTGAGGTATCTGATGCATTAATTTTGAGGATCTTGGCTTACAGCCAATGAAAGGTCACACAGCTTTTTTACTTTATTTGTTAGGTTGAGCCTGATTAACACACTGTCATCTTAAACAAGACACCAGAGGCAACCAGCCTTAGAAATGCCTAACATTTCAAAATGACCACACAGTGGCTTGTAAACATGGAGAAACTTTAATAAAACAAAATGTGTCTCCATTTATGGACATTTTCCTATTATGTTGAAATCAGCTTTGCTGCTTTCTTCTCTTCTCATTTAGAGGAAGTTTTGCAATCTCTTCCTGTGTCTCAGAAGCTAATGTTGCAGACGATTCCTGAGAAACCATGCTCCAAAAAGAAAAATAGTCTCCCTGGAAGAGGAACTGTAAATAAAGAGCTACTAATCCTCAAGCTGATCAATCAACAGCTGTCATTGAAACAGGAAGTCTCCCTATCTGAAAAGGCCACAGGTTATTGATCGATACAACCACAGTTTGAACTGTGAGGAGACGGAGGAACCAAAGCTTTCCAGCTGTGTTCCACATGTTTTCTTACCTGCGCTGGCCGGTCGTTGCGGTAACCCTGGCGACACGGTGTTCCTCTGTAGAGGCTGTTGCTGTGGTGACAAGAGGCGGGGATCCGTAAGGGTGGAGGTGACGAAGGAAGTGGTGGTGACCAGCCCACCGGGATTGTTGCTGAACTGGAGGGCTGCTGCTGCATTCTGATTGGTCACTGGGACGGTGACTGGCATTGGGAAGGTGGACTGTGGGACAGCGGACTGGTGGAGAGACAGGAAGAGGGCGGAGTTTAAAGGCAGCCAAGTTTAACCCCACATCACATATAGAAACAGAATGGTGATCAGTTAGTGATCAGCAGCAGTGCCAACGAGCCCACAGGTGACATGCACACAACCAACCAATCACAGCAAGAAGAGCTATGTGAAAACTGAAATGAAGTAAATTTAAAACATTGTCTTCAAGTCAAATTTGATCTTCAAAAATGCAACACTCTGATAGCTAATGCTATTACATAAATAAGACAAGCATATTCCCATGGAGACTGGGATCTGTTATCTATTATGATATTCTTGTTTATTTTAAGAGTAAAGGCTGACAAGAGATTGAATATGTAAATAACCATCTAAATCTAAATGAAAAAAAGCTTAATATTTTACAATCATGGTTCTTTTAACTCAAATGATAAAACTTTACAATTATAGAATGTGTCTGGATTAAATATATTAAAGGCTTAGTATGTGTGGGGTGTGAAAGTAACTTTTAAGGAATTTACTGTTTAAAACAGTTTTTTTTTAAACTGCAAAATTAAAAGCTAACCAGAAAAAAAACTAACATTTTTAATGTTTATTTTCAAAATGCAGACTACAAAATTTAAGTGTGATTGCTAAATACTCTGATATAAATATAAAAAAAATCTAAAAACTGGAATCAAACATCTTACTAAACATGTTTAAGGGTTTTATATTGTTGGAAAACTAAAATTGTCTCATGCAAGAATTTTTGTACGGCCAGGATCCAAACAGTCAAAATCTCTGAGCTGTCTCTTTAAGTAAATAGTTTTAAAAATTAAGTCTTTAAATAATTTCCACACACACTCCCACTGACACACACACTCACTGAGTGGTAGCATGCAAGGTGACTTGGTGAAAAGGCCGGAAAGCTGTGTTGCCTTTCACGTCTCATGCCAAGTTAAAACTCTTGTCACAGCAGCAAGTTGTTGCTTCAAGTTATTGGTGACATCTCATCGCATGCGTGTCAAATTCCTGCAATCCCACCCCCCCGAGCTGCCCACCCCAGTTGACATGTCCTTCTCTTCAAAAGGTCAGAAATGATCTTGCAGGAGCTCACTTCTTAAAATCTACCCCAAATATACTGGATCTCATCTCAAACAACACAAATTACAGAGATACCACAAACTAACTGAAACTTGTCTCTTTCTAAACTCTACACTCTAAATTGAGTTGACAAAACCTGATAACAAGACGGCAAAAAGAAAAAAAAAATAAGGCCAAGGACCTGAGGTTGTCCAGCCACATTTCACCCGGTTTCAACTGAATCTGAAAGAAGGACTTCTATATTTGGAATATGGGCCACTGCTGCTCTGTACTGTACTCGTACTGCCTGAGACCCAGTTTAATGGAAAGAAGGGCAGGGGGACCTTCCTGCCCTTGATCTGCACCTCTGTTCTGTCCGCAAGTTTAAAAAAATAGATTCAAATTGACAAAAGATATAGCTTTTTCTCTTTTCTTCCTAAAACTATGATTCAATAAAGGTCATTTCCACTAACATTATTGGAAAATTGTAGGCCTCTAAAACCAAGAATCGCTCTTTTTCAAATGTATAAGCCTTGTGGCTGCAGATCTAATCCAAAGGTTGCCATATACCAGTAAACCCCCAACTGATAGCTTTGAATGTACCAATTAGGCTGCAAAGTGGAGATCTGCAAAGGAAAAGTGCAAACAGAACTGTAGGTGGTGACCTGGGATGGTGAAGAAAGCAGCTGAGAGCACTGCAGCACTGCACACTGGCCAAGCGGACGGTGAAGGGAAAGGGTGGATTAATGGTGTGGGTGGGTGAGGGGGTGAAGTCAATGCAAAGAGGGTGGAGATGAGTAAATACAGAGGCAGGACTGGAAGTGATTTATACTCAGGGCGAGGGGGTGTTTCTCTTTTATTTTTATTATTTTTTAAACATGATGGAATCAGTAGAAAACGTTTTAATTTAAAGTGTTTTCTTATTTTTAATTGACAATCACAATGGAGCCCATTATTTACCTCATAATTAAGCTGGATTTGCAAGAATTTATTTTATTTATCAAATAAGAGATGGAACACCATGTTAAAAAAAACACAATAGGAGCCATTTTTGAATGCAAAATTAATTGACTAGCAAAGATTAAAACTGCTCATTTTATCTATAAAATTCCTTGAATACTGGCTGCTCATCTTTCTGTGCCTGATTTGAGCTTGGAAAATTAAAAATAATTAAAATGCATGTGAATGATGCCCCGTTTTCATAAAATCCCAACTATTCCCATCTGGTGATCTTTCCTTTCAACCACATGCTGACTGATCTTACTGATGACATTACTTCAACATCTCTACACACATCTTGTAAATGTTTATTTTAACTTGTCTTCTGACTTTTTAGGCACTTTGTTACATAGAAACCAACTAAACCAAACCAATTAATTCACCTTTTCCCACATTTACGATCGATGCTCCCGAATGCAGACAGGAGGGTTAGCAGGAATGACGTCCATCCTCTTACAGATTTAGGGCAAAGGATGGGAATTGAGGAGGAAAAAATAAACCTGCTAGGTAAATAATTGACCAGGAGATTTTCTGGAGGCTCATGTGAAAAAGCTCAAGGCCGTATCTGTGAGAAATGAACAAAAACAAGAGAGAAAAATCTAACCTATTCTGCCTCATAGGAGTTCTCTCAACAAGGGCGTGTTTACAGGATGCAAGGTTAAATCAGAATGAATTAAACTCATGACCTAGTTCTCCTGCTTCTCTTTTGTCCTCAAAGCTTTTTGAGATTTTATTATGACAACATATAAATGCATTTGTTCTTCTTTCTTTCCAAATTAATATTTGAAAGAGAGGTCAGCTTTTATTTTACTCACTAATATTAAGTAAGCTTTTATAAAACTTAAAGGTTTTATCTGGATCTTTCAAAATCAGTCACTCATAGGAGATTTTGACTTTTGAAGAGAGAAAAAAATAATCAAAATATAATCTCTTGGATTTACCTTGGCAACTCCATGTAAAAGATTATGTTCTGTTAAATATCTGAATATGAAATTTCATGTGATTTAATATGCAGTAGTGTCAGTTTTATTGTGTTTGACTTTGCATCCATACAGAGCCTGTAGTGAGTCAAGATATTCAGCTCCTTGCTCAAGGGCACTATGGAGGCGGTTGTAAAAAGGAACAAATCTATTTCTTATTCAATTTAGAAACTATGAATCACAGAACCAGAAAAAGGCTCAAACCACAGAGCCGCCGGACGAAAAAAGACTGCCTTTATTTATTTTTTATTTTGCCTATCACAATGCCAAACTAACGGGAACAGATACGTGAGCTCCGGGCTCCTCGAGCCAAATGTCTTGCCTGTTCTGCCTCACCACTCTTTCGCTGCCTCGGGAGGCATTTTAGTACAAGTGGGATTAAGCATGTATATCCCGGCCCCTAGCTGTCATGCAGGGGATTATGTTGAAGAGGGGAGGAATGGCGGGTGAGGTTGAATTCTCCAGTTTGTCTGCTGCCACTAAAAGGTGAGCCGGGTGAAACAGGTGCGCAGAAAGGCTGGCGGTGGCCAGTCCGGCGATGCTTGACGAGAAGCCAATCAATGCGCACGGAGAGCTGCACATCTCTAAGGGTGGTAGATTGAATGCTATTCTTCTCCTGCCATGCCTCTCTCTTCAGAGAAAAGCCTTTAAGAGCCATTTCGGCTCAGGCCACACAGAGAGGCTGAGTCAAAGTCAGAAGGACAAAAATTCATCGAACTGATTAAACTGAGAGGTTCTCTAATCAGGGAAGAGCTCAACCAATGAGAAGCCTTCTCAACAGGATTTCTTTTTTTTTTTAATTTACCCTCAACATTGAGGCATAATTGTCAATGCATGACTTATACAGTGCCTTTCAAAACTATTAATGTTCTCTGATGCTTTTATGTTTTTACATTTCTTGATGTAAAAGGAAATGTGTAATTGATAGCTGTATGATGTTTATATTATGCAAAGCACTTTGAAGTGCCTTGGGCTAAAATGTGCCATACAAATAAACTTGAATTGTCTTAAAGAAAAAATATAGTCAATGTTAAAGATTTCCAAAGGTTGTGCAGATGATTTGAGTTTATATTTCTTACCTTAAAACAATCTAACAAGTGTGTTGTGGATCTATATTCAATATCCTTTTCTTTAATGCAGAGCACCTCCACCTATATGTGGTTCAGTATTGGATATCAAAAGATGGGATATCAAAAGCACCAAGTTGTTGGAGCTTCATGTAGGAAACACATCAAACATGTGGAACAAAGTAATCTGGTCAGATGAGACCAAAATTGAACTCTTTGACAAAACTAACATGGCCTATCACCCTTGACATATCCTGGTGGTGGCAGAATCATGTTGTGGATACATTTTTCCTGCTGACTAGAGTTGATTAAAAAAATGGGTGGAGCAGTTGAAGAAAACTTGTTGGAGGTCTAAAAATACTAACGGGAGGTTAGTATACTAACTGGGTTGGAGGTTTACCTTCCCACAGGACAATACCCCTAAAAAAAGAGCCGTTCTACAGAGTTAAATGGACATGGTTACAAATGGTCCAGTGAAAGTCCAGATCTAAAGCAAATGAAGAATCTGTGACAAGACTTATAAACTGCTCCTTACAAATGCTCTCCATCCAACCTGGCTTAGCCAGAATTATGTTTGCGAAGGAGTACAAGCAAACATACAAAAAGAAACCTGGTTCTATAAAGTTCTAATTCTGGGGCACAGAATCAAAATTTGATCCAATACATTTACTTCCACTTCAAAATTATGCATTATTTTTGTCTTGGTCTTCACATAACAGAAAGCATATGGATGTGTTTGACTTAAGAGAATTGTATAAATAATTTTGAAGGCCACTGTTCAAGAATCCAGCAAAGCAACCGTTAATTTGAGCAACTTTGTTATTCTGATATAAATGTATAATTAACACTCTGAATTATTTACGGAGTAGAGAAAGTAAAGAAGGACTTTTCTAGCCAACTCAAATGGGTCCAACTCTTCTGCAACACCTAAACGTGACTGAGTCTCCTCCCAAGTGACCAATCAGACAGTCAGGCAGACAATAAGAGGGTCTGTAAATTAAATAATCCTCATTAAAATGACATTAATTGGATTATTGAGCACAGGGGGAAAAATAATGAATCACAGGGAAGTTGGCAGAGGAGCGGAGCGGTAAAAGGGGTTTGGCAGCATGCCAGTCAGGAGGCAGAACCTGGATAATGTCAGGAGCACATCCAGGCAGAGAAGCAGAACTACACACAGTCTTAACTGACCTCACTAATACTGTTAACATCCGGCAGATAATAACTGCAACCTCTCTGGCTTTTTAAACTGTGGTGCGTGCTTTGTGTCTGAAGTCGCACAATTCTTTCTTTAATATTGCGGATTATTACACGAGTCCCATTTTCAGGCGAAAAATCGGACTGCTTAAAGGCATGCTCTCAACATGTTGATTATTCCCATAAAAGATGATTTCCCCCTGCAATTTCCAGTTGCTATGCCAGCTTTTATGAAAACCAGAGACCTAGTTAATGCTTCTCACCCTCTGTTGCAGTTTCTCATAGTTAAGTGAACTTGCAGAGACATTAAAACTGTTTTACAGCAGTAATACTTCTAAGGACGCTCTTCACGGTGGTGACTAGAAATGAATAATTCCATTACAACATCTGGCACTTGGTGTTCAGATTACTTGTTTTACGACCTTTTACAGCACAGCAAATGGGTTGCATTTTATTACAAGGGGAAAAAATTGGTTTGTACAATATTATATTTTCATTCTAAACCATCATTTTTTGTAACTGGAAATGGTAACACAGGGTATGTTCAAGGGGTCCACAAGTCAAACTTAAGACTTTTTAATAATTTCCTAATGCCACCTTGAATGAAATTTAAGACCAAAAGAACAAACGGAAATTAAAAAAAAAACTTCCGGCGTCTGTATATATGGCTCTTGCCAGCAGCTTTGCATTTTTCACGCTGCATATGGCTCTCTACAGCCAATCTTGAAATTATTTTTGCACAGAATGTATGTAGCTTCATATGAGTTGGCAACAGAAGTGAGCCAGTGGCGAAAACACATGATAGGCACCAAACCCCTAGTTATCTAGCTAATTCTGTAACTATCTACAAAGGTAGCTAGCAAGGCTGTATTAGCAGCGAGTTACTGGTTGCATTAGTTGCCTCGAGTCACATGAAGATATCTGCGTGCAACTGATAGAAACGCAGAAGAAAAACAACATAGAATATATGAGATTAAATAATCTTGCAGCGACAAATTTTAAGATCTGTGACTATTCATTTAATGCCTGCATAGATTTTATTCCAAAGAATTTAAGACATTTTAAAACATTTTTAGGGATGCACAGACACCATGTAACAGTAATATTAGTTGAGGGGGCACACTAAAACAGACCACCAGAGAAGAATATTTAAATTAACATTTTTCAACTAAAACAACAGTTGTTAGATTTGATTGCTTCGAGTTTCTTTTACGACATGATGGACAATGGCTTAAGGGCAGTGGTTTTAGGGGTGGAGAGAAGCGATCGTTGGTAAGAAGTGAGGCGGAGAAGGTAAAAGGAGTTGAGGGGAAATAGGAAAGGCAAGTGCTCTGTGAGTATTCAGACCGCCTTTAGCACCCGGAGATTTTATTTCCGGTCAGCAGCAGCAGCAACATGAGGAGGGGCTGGGGTGCACAGAATGGTGGGAGGTACTCACTGACAGCCTATAGTTCTGCATCATTTTATCAAACTCCTCGTCAATTTTTTTGTATTTCTCCTCAGTGCGGGGGGTGAGGGAGAATGGCTCCTCGGGGTCTGGGCTCTCAGAGTCCCGGTGCTCTTTCTTGTTCAGAGCCTTCGTTCCCCGTACAACAGAAGTAGAGGCCACAAAGACAGAGAGAGAGAAAAATAGAGACAGAGGAGATGGCAGATAGAGAAAGAGAAGGAGAACAGAAAGAGTAGGTTAGAAAAAGTGACAAAGGTGTGACGGTACTCACGCCATAGCGTTTGAAGAGGCTGTCCAGGTCTTCGGTCTTGCGATCATTTAGAGGACTTTGGTCGATGGAGTCGTCGCCGTCGGGCTCGGGGCTGTTGCAGCCATTAAAGCCTTTCTTTCGCAACGTCTGAAGCGGTCAGAAAAGGGTAGAGGTGGAGAAGGAGGAGGCACATTTACATTTCATTATCATGCACATTTCTCATCACCGCTTTTTAGTTTCCAACACCACTTTTCAGGCCATTTTCAATGCTCAAACACAGATGAACATCTTGACTGCACCATATGTGCAGACTCCTACACTGTTCATTGAATTAAAAAGGAAGCCGTTAAGGTTAGATGAACAATTTGACCTAAATGATGACATCAAACAAATTTTTCTGGAGGCATTTTCTATGAGTGGAAAAAGTGACCTCTGATAAACTTTAATTGATTTCTCAGGTCAACATTTGTAACATCAGCCTCCCACGTGAAAACAAGTTATTACCAGCCAAACTGCCCTTGCTCACCCTGGAAGCCCTCCGTGGAGGTCTTGGCTTAAAAAGGTGAGGAAATTAAAGATTCCGCTAGTAAACGGATTTGAAATCAAAGACATCAAAATTAATCACCCATCCTTAGCAATGTGAACATAATGTGGTAGGTACATGAGAAAATTGCTCGTTTTCAAACATGCTGTCCAAATCAGAAGGCATGAGCTAGTAAACTGGTATTAAGTCATGAAGAGTTCCAACATGTTCTCATTTAAAATTCCACACTTTTCCAAAGTCAAATTGCTTTAGCTCTCAGTTGTTTAAGATCATTTCAATGCACAAAATATATGTACAAATGTTTACTTCAAATTCCTGGCAGATTCTGTACAATAAAAGAAAGGAGATAAGGGAAGGAAGTAAAGACGAAGAAAGACAGGACAAGTGAATGAAGACAGACAAAAGAATTGAATGAAATATAGCAAGAAACCTACAAAAGAGGGAAAGTATGAAATAAAAAAAATTAAAGGACACAGTCAAAAAATAAGGACATGAGAGGAAGGACAAGGAACACAATGATAAAAACAAAATGAATGAGATTAATTTTAAACAAATGTAATGGAAATAAATTCAAAAAATATATTTTGTTCATACTTATTGACATTTTGCTCTAATAGAATGGGTAAGCCAGCTAAAGCTATAAAGTGGTGTTGGCATCTCAGCGAGAACGGCAGGTAGATGGCAGGAAAACAGGAGGAGGGGAGAGGAGAGCACCAGATAGCGAGGCTCTTATTTAGAGAGGATTCTGCTAAACAAGATTTGCTGTTAAGTAGCTTTACTTGGTGGGCCTTGACCAGAGAGCCAAGTAGATAAATCCTCACTGGATTGTTAACTGAACAGAGAACATCTACTGTGGTCCCAGTAAAAATGTTGTATTTCCATATTTCAATAATTTCCTCAAAAAGCTGGAAAAATATATAGACAGACCAGTTCATAGTCAAGAACCAGAGGTGTGTTGAAAAAAAGGCATAAAATGAGGAACAAAAAACACAGAACTGCAAAATGTTTGAGGTCAACAAGATTCTATTTTATTAGATTCCGGTTTGTTTTATTTTAGGTTTTTTCAAATAAACTAAAAATAGTGATGATCTAATAACTTCTTCTTTCGGTATTTCTGCTCTACAAAGAGAAAATCTCTTCCGTTTTATACTTCTTCGCTGTGCTTTTCTGCACATCTGTGTCTTCCATGGAAAAACTAATAATCACAGGTGAAAAAACAGACATGAGTTTTCTTTTTCTCTTGGTTGAAATTATATGGTGCAAAACTGAGCAAATGAGTTTATGCAAATCACTCACATACTTTCCAACACTAAAAACTATATTTGTAACATGGATTGTTGCATGGATCATTATGTCAACATCTCTTAGGTACAACACAATTGGAAAATTGTTATATTCAGTAACTTTGCAAATTTTTAATAAATCTTCTTCAAAGTTTGGATTTTGGTGATGAGGCGTTCTGTTTATGACAGATGTTCCCAGTGTGGGACAAGTATCTGTCAAAAAGAGGAAATATGGCATTTAAAAAAACAGATGTTGTAAAAATTAGGCTTGGTTTATAAAAAAATTAACTGCATGCTTTTTGGAATAAATTAAACACAGTTCACCAGTATTGAAAAGGACTGAGGAGTGTTCTACCTTTTTTTAAACCTTGAGAACAAACAAAGAAAACCTTAGTACTTGCATATAAGTAGGAAACAACCTTCACCGGAATATATTAGCCTATTAAAAACAGTCTCTAAATAAATATTAAGGAACCTATTTTATAAAAGTTAATAAAAATCTTATGACAGGGTTTGAGGTTGTTTGGGACAAATAATTGTTAATATGTGTAGTGAGAAACCAGGAGCATGTACTTAACAGTGAGGAAGAAATGTTTTTACTCATTTTTAGAGAAAAGTTTGAAAACAATATTGAACCACCAAACTGTCCTTAGACACTCAATTACAAAATATACATTCATCAAATAATGACTTGTAAAAAGAAACCATTTTAACATTTCATTAAAACAATTTATTTTTCAGTTTAAAAACTGCTGCATGTCAAGTGGGACTGATGTCAAGTGGCACCTGATTAAAATAAAAGCATATGTTCAACATGCACAATCAGCACTAAATGAGAATGACTCAACCGCATGAAATTCTGCCTGAGAAGCAGAGCTGCGAGAAACTTGTGCCTTTAAGAGCTGCAGATTGAAACCCCTCCGGCAGTAAAGATTTGTTTCATTTTGGATGAATTAGCCTTAAAACTCTCAAAACAGGTAGGGGCAAGAGGGTAATGATGCCATTTGGATGTAAGGGTAAGGAGAGTTTCAGTGTTAATAACAATGGTGCTCTTTGATATGAGTCTCATTAAAACTCAAAGCCATTATTATCATCACAGTGTCAAGGCTCCGTTTTATCTACCCACTGAAACAGGTTATTAGAAAGATTTGTTCCAACACAGAGACAGTCTCCTGAGTCAGCTGTTGAGTCTCAGCAGCACGAGTGAATGCTCTCATCTACTGCTTAATGCAAATTTAGAGAGCAGGCTTTGTTGTCCGTAGCTTGTTAAAAGCATACTCAGTGGTGGTTTCTGCACAGATGTGTGTGAGTGTGTGTGATCTGACCTAGAAATCGAGGGAACGAATAAGCCATTGGAAGAATACAGTAAATGGAACAGCTTCTGAAATGTCAATAAGGACATGTGATGGAGATGGAGCAGGACACATGATTGAGGTGTGGACCACCCACTTTGACTGTGGCAATACAAAGAGGCAAATAATGTTCACAAAACTAGAAGGAATAATATTAGCCATGTTGGTGGATGCTTGGTGTTTCTACTGCTGATCAAGCAAACACTGTTCTCCAAAGCATTTATTTTAACAAAATAAGTTAATGACAGCAATTCAATTACAGAAACAATGAATCAAGATGGTTCCAATGCTACACCGGGGTGGTAAAAGATCTGTTTTCTGTTTAATAACAGATTAACAGAAATTGTTACATTTAAAACGGCCTAAGAGAGTTTGTTACAGCCTTCATTAAGATGAACATTTATATCATGTCATGGCTTCTGATTTATAACATCACTTATTCAAGGTACACCAGAGGATGTGTTTAAGGCAATATCTCTAAAATATGACTTGCTTGTGTGACGTAACGGAAAAATCTAAAGAAATCAGCCAAGATATCAGAAAAAAAAAGTTGTGGACCTCAACAAGTTTGGGTACAATTTCCAATCACCAATAGTTTCCACTTTCCTCTATTCAAAATCTATAGAAATATCTAGTCTTTGTACTATTCAGGAAGAAGAGGGGCCCCTTGTCTCAGATGCCAACATATTCTGACCACTCAATGAAGAAAAACAGTAACTTTCAGCTTTCAGGTGCATTTTTTGAAGACATGTTCTAAGGTATAATGAAACCAAAGTTGACATGTATGGTCAGACTATAACTATCATTACAATGTAGTGAAAAAGCCTGAGAACAACCTCCTAATTGTGCAGTACAGAGCTGGCAACATTAGGAAGTGTGGGTGTTTTGCCGCAGGAGGGACTGTGAACTTCAGAAAACAGATGGCCTCCTGATGAAAGAACGTGATGTGAAAAAAAGTCAAAGCAACATTTCAAGCCATCAGCCAGGAATTATGATCCTGGGCATAAATGTGTCTTCCAAACAGACAATTACACTTGCCATACAGGCAAATCAGCTACAAAGTGTATAAATGAGAAGAGTTAAAGTGTTTTAGTGGCAATCAGTGTGTGTGAACAAGGGGTCCTGAATCTGAGTTCTGCAATCTGCAGCTAAGAATGTGTTTTCTTGGTAGAAATTGTACTTCAAGATAAATTATGGCAGGAAAACATGATTAATGTTAGAAATTGTGGAAGGATAAGATAAAAATGTGACCAAAATAATTCAGTTTGGACAAATATTCTGTAAGTACATGGTAAAATTACTATTGTATTGTCCATGCTTAATCATGATTTAAATTTGTGTAAAATCCTGAATATGTATAACATAAATTAAAAATTAATTGGTTGTCATGCACCCAGATTGATAGTGTTTCCCTCCCATTATGTCATGGTACTTGCTTACACAGTAGATATTTTTTCTTCCTGAACATAAAATGCTCGTCTGTCCTAGTTTATTGCAAACTCAACTGATATTTTGTGAAAATTACAGTGCAAACATGGGCAACTTTCCCTTTCTCAGTTTCTGTGTTTTTCTTCCCACTCTTTCTCACAGTTAGCAGTATGTGTGTTTGTGCGCTACATTACAGAACAAGCGTATCTTCTGGCTCACACTCATGCAAGCACACTCCCTCGTGCACTGATCAGCTTGTCTCTCAGTCAGTCAGCCATCTGTTCACCTGTCCCCCGTTTCCCCTTCTGCCCTTCTCTATTATGTTGCCAGGGTAAGATTCAGCCTGCAGGGCACCAAGCCACTCTGAATGGCTGCGGTTGCACACAAGCCCCACCCTCATCTCCCGCACTGTCGTCCTCCCTCCCCTTCATCCTTTTCCTCTGGTTCGCTGTCTCGCCCACCCATGCGTCCGCCCGCCTGCCTGCCCAACCTCCGTTGCTTGCTTTCTATGAAACATTGTTGCTGATGTCTTCCTTTCTT